TGTTTTCTACTTGGGAATGCTTCAAAGCAACCTTGCTGAGAGTAACTCTACATAAGTTTATTTACAGCGATCGGTAAAAATACTATGCCTTAAAAGTACTATTAGTTTCCTAGCTAGTACAGTAGCCCCAGCTAAGGATAAATACCTAGTTTTCAAAATATATTCATTGTTTTCTACTTGGGAATGCTTCAAAGCAACCTTGCTGAGAGTAACTCTACATAAGTTTATTTACAGCGAACGGTAAAAATACTATGCCTTAAAAGTACTATTAGTTTCCTAGCTAGTACAGTAGCCCCAGCTAAGGATAAATACCTAGTTATCAAAATATATTCATTGTTTTCTACTTGGGAATGCTTCAAAGCAACCTTGCTGAGAGTAACTCTACATAAGTTTATTTACAGCGATCGGGCGCTACATGGTGTAAGGAACTAGTTCTATAACGTCCAGGAACAGCTGGTCATGTGTGCATTTGTATGCAGAACGTTGAATGAAAAGATGAGATAGAACATCTGCGTCTGTTTTTTAAATGCCGCAGCATCAATTGAAATGCAACAGCTTGCTGTGATTTCTATTCAAATTATGTGGCGGTGCGGCAGTGGCATGTGGGCAGCAAGCAGTCAGTCAGTCAGTCAGTCAGTCAGTCAGTCAGTCAGTCAGTCACTCAGGCAGTCAGGCAGTCAGAACTATGGGCAACAGCCCATAATGAACAGACAATAATGTTGTTAATTTTTGTGGTTATTTATTGTGCAGTTAAGGCACATGTTCTGTTCCTACCCAGAAGTCCCCGCGTTCCGTGCAACGCCCGCATTTCTGGCTCGAACAAGTTTCCATTGAACTTCAGCAGCAACTACAAAGACTGAGATAGGGACGGATACGGATACGGAGACGTAGGCCGTTCTGCTCTTGGTCGATGTTACGTGTGCTGGCATTCGCATTTTATGGCACACTTCTCAGTTGATGGAAGTATAGTACGAGTGTGTGGCAAAGCCAGAAAGCCTGTCAAAAAATCAAATTAGAAATATGCATATGCACGCCCACGTGTAGTCGCCATCGCACTCGCCGGCGCATTACTCCCCAACCCGTCTTATCGACGTAGTCTTCGCCTTTACTGCATTTTTCCGTAAGCCATCAGAAAAAAAATGCAACACAAGAATGTGGCAACCAAATTGATTTAAACAGTTGTTCGCCGGAACGACATGCATTGTCACAAATTGATTTCAATTTCTGTTTCTATGGCATATTTTCATGAAAACATAAAACTATTCGGTCGGATTATTTTTCGGTTTCTGTTGACTGTTTTTTTTGGTTTTCGGCAATCCCGTACATTCATTCATTCACTTTTTGTTTGGCACTTTCTTTCTAGCCGAAAGTTTGTCTTTGCCACTTGGGAACTGGCTGTATGTTGAGTGGGTGCTGCAACTAGTGGTTGTGGTAACGACGACGACGAATGCGTGTATGTTGGCCGCAACAACGAAAAAGCCGTTAGTTGGTTTTAAAAAGTTAAAAACATCGACAACACCTGTTTATTTTCATTGTTTCTGTTGCTGTGCCTCGCTGCACTTTTGCATTTGGGGGCCTCGGGGGCACCTACATTCAATGTAGGTGGCTCGTATCCTCAAATTGTTGCACTTGTCTATTGTCTGGTCGCTGTTGTTGCTTGTCTTGTAGCCAAACAACGAACAATGCGCTGTTTTTCGCTTGATAAAATCTGTAAATTTGCCTATTTAGTTAGTCGATAGAAAGTCAAATTTAATTTCAAAACGCCACTGCAAAGCGAGTGCAAAACGATAGAAAACCATTCATGTATGTATTAATAGACCAATAATTTCATAGTTTTCACAATAACTCACAATCATGTCATTTAGTTAATTCGTAAACTGAGCAAATGCATTGAAAATCGACTCAAAGCCGAGAAGGAGGTTAAAAAGTATAAAAATTAACCCTTTCACAACCCGCTGCGAAACGCACGAACTGGAAAGTAACTGTCGCCACAATAGTGTATTTTTAGTCTAACTGGTTGGCTTGACGTGGACAAGGATCGGTACAATTGAAGGGTCACTCCGGCCATTGCACTTGCCTATGAAATGAAACTTTGTTTTATACTTATAAAATAACCTCTAATATTGTTTTGGTTTTTTCTATAAACTCCAGTCCAACTCTATTTGGCGTTTTTGCAGTAATTGTTGCAGTTCCGCTTCAGTTCCTCTGAGAGTTTAAGCAACAAAAGTTATGCGGTTGGCAGTGACTTTAACAGATTTGCGATTGGTTGTGAAAACAAATTATAAACGATAAACAGTCTAGAACAAAGCAGGAATTATGTGTAAGGCTAAATGAAAATAAACAACTACACTACACACAATCGCTGCGAACAAAAAACAACAAATGGAAAACAAAAATGCTTGTCATGAAAATCCCAATGTGTTGGACACGCGGGGGGCGCTAAAGAGGCAGTAGCTACGTAAGCCGGCCAGGGAAAAAGAAAACTGTTTCTTAATTTTCGCATAAAACGCTCCGGGGAGATGTAAACAAAACGCATCAGCATGTAACGAACGACGTTTGACAGTAAGGTGTTAAAAACTACCTGTAAGATACCAAGGCAGACAAGGTGCTGTGGCAAAGGATAGAAAATCGACATGACCAGGCATTGGTCACTGGGCACGTCCATGGGCATCGCTGCCAATGCTGGAATGGTGGAAAAATGCCATGAAATGGGCTTTCGTCAAATTAGCGTTGCCGCGTTAACGACACAGACGACTTCGAGCGCATCTGCACGTTGGTCGCACTGTGGGATATTTCGCACTTTGCGCTACTTTTGCCTACAATTCCATTTCATAGTATTGTAATTTTCGATTTGGTGTCGTTGCCGTAGCCATGGTCTTGGTCGTGGTAGTGGTCGTGCTCACTACCTGCATTCCGACGACCCTTGATTTATTTGCAGCCTATGCAGCTGCGTTGATTTAACTGCATTTGCATGGAGCACCAATGCAGCTTCTTTCCTTTTCAATTCTACGACTCCTTGGATGTTGTTATCTAACTGGCTCGCCTTCCTTTTCATTCACAGACTCGTCTGACTTTGGCACTTGATCTACACTCGCACACATTCTCCCAAGCACACAGGCTGGACTGTAAGTCATAAATTTAGCTGTCGTTTAGTTTTTACGATTGTCGGCTGACTTTGTTTGGTTCATGCTATGTAAGCATGCATACATATGCACATATGTACATATCTACATACATAGGTACATACGTAGATACATACGTATATGTACAACACATGCATGTGCGTATGTATCTTTCAACAGCCGGGCCGCTGCATCGGCATATCTACAACTAAATACGCGCTGAAGAGTTGAAGTGCCAGGCCAAGTTGCAGCCTCCTGCCAAGATTTCTCGATTCAAGCCCTCGGATCGCACTGTACCCAGACAGACGCCAAAAACAGGTCAGCAACTGCCAAAGTTTGCGTGCTTGGCAAAAAGGAAAAAAAAAACGATTTTATGGTTTCTGGTAAATGCGCAGGGAAAGCTTTCGGCAGCAGGGCTTGGATCCAAGCGTCTAAGTCACGCAGGTAGAAACCTCAAAGTTTCGCTCGACTTAGACGATCTTACACAAAGTGTTCTTGATTTTCGGGTAGCACTCTGCAGTGCGAGAAACCTGTCGAGAGAAGCCAGCTTTGGCAGATAAGATAAGTCACAGGAGAGTTTATCGACGGTTTGCGGAAACTTTAAGTGTAGGAACTCCTGATCAGAACAGAATGCAATCAGCAGTAGAGGATTGTTATTATTTTTATGAGACTGGTGGACGTATGGTAGGATCAAATAATAATTGCACCTATATTGGAATGTAACGAATTGATCTTCACTCAGTGCGTGACACACCCTTTAGTCATCTAAAAACTTAATTACGCTCGCCCCAAGAAAGTCTCAATTAATATGCGTAAGTGCCCCCTTAATGTTGCATGTTGTTCGAAAGGTAATGACTTGAACAACTACTCTGAAAATTCAAATGAAAAAGACCGTCAACGAATCAGATGACAAAAGTACTTTCATTTTCACGCGCGCAAAGAGGAAAAAGACTGCGCATAAAACTTAAAAAGCTGTCATAAAAAGGCACAAGCTAAACCGCTTAAATGACATTTAAATAAATAAGCAAGCTTGGGCAGAGACACAAGCCAACAAGCCAACAAATATAGAAAGGTAAGACTGCAGGCGGTCCGTTGATTGTCTGAAGACTGACACTGGCCCTTTCACTGTCGTGGTCGATGCAGAAGACAAAGCCTTACAGGAAGTTCGCACTTTGATTATGTGGTGCAGAACCAAAAAATCGAAACCAACAAAATAAAAGAAGTGACAAGGAGGGCCGAACACACGTTTCTGGATGCCTGTGATTACACTTTAATCTCGATATAATGAGGCGCAAAGGCAAGAAAATTACGCAGCGGATGTGTTGATCGTGCCGAGACTGCCCGACTATCGGCCATCCAGTTCTCCAGAAAGGCACACCACTACACTGGGGTTGACATCCTGGTTTGGAGAGCAGCTGGGTACCATTCATTTTTCAAGTGCAGACGCTCCGATTGAATTACCGCACTAAAGACACAATGAAGAGCGAGAAGAAGAAACAAAACGAGGCGCTGTAAACCAGACAAGCACAGACTGCACTTGCTCAACCAACTTTGGAAATATGATGCCGAAAAGGCGCAGCTCATAAATAACCAAACAACAGGCGGGGAAGGGGACAAATGTCCGGAAAGTGGTGGCTGTCTGATAAGGTGAGATAAGCACCAATGCCAGTGGTAATGCATGTAACCAAATGGTGTACCTGTGGTTGACTGTGTGATCTTTTGCCTACTAAATGAGTCGGATAGGAATGGCGTGTTAGAGATTTAAATAATCATAAAATACCTAAATTTTCTCATTGGCTTCAAGAGTTTTTGAAATTGAAACAAAGACCACTCGAGAATTTACTACACAGCTAGCATGAAAATCATTCCTTTACGCACCTGAGTTTAGTTGCACACCTGGCAGAACTACCGACGACTCCGACTTGAATCCCACGGAGTTGCCAAGATCAGCAGCCCCTCCATTGCTGCTAATGGTCGGCTTTTCAACACTCATGTCTAATGTGGTTGAGGCGTCCAAGTCCATCAGGGTGTTGCCCGTAAAGAGACCCGCACTGCGGTATTCCTTGGCAAAGGGCGTGGCGCCCAGCGCCTCATAGCTCAGCACTAACAGCAACCAAAGTTGTCTATGAAAATCCATCATTTTGGGAAGATTTGTTTAGGCTCGATGGATCTTCTTGGCCATATGTGGACACATTTAATGACACTACACAAACACCGCTATCGAGACACTTGCACACACACACACGTAAAAAATAGTCGGCTTTATTCTGAGGTTAGACGACGCGTGACACTTTCAATTAACACTGTGGAAAAAACTTTTAACTTTTGATCATTAAATTAGTTAAAGTCGAACAGCCAACGACTTGACGTGCCGCAACGAATTCAATTAGTCTGTTGCTTGTTTTATTTTTTTCGCCAGTTTCAATTTGGAAAATTATGTCAGCAATTAGTGGGCCGCGTCATTTGCTCTGGTCACCTTAACTGGGCCACAATTGAGCACACATTCCATTTCCAAGCCTTGGATCGGGCACTGCAAACACTGCAATATAAAAATGGAGATTATTAGCAACTGTTTTCACCATGTGTTTTGAATATGCCGAGCGGAAATTCGTAGGTCGGCTCAAAGTTTCAACAGGCGATGTTTTGAGAAATTATTAACAACAACAAGAACACATTCGCAACAGCTGCCGCTTACACTCAATCCCAACAGCACATCAATTAAAAAATGCGCGTTAATTTCCAGCATAATTTCCCATAAGTTCCCATGCAGCGGAAATGTGCCTTCGAATTCCCACAATAAAAACGCGAAATACTCAAACAAACCCACAATGAAGCGGTAAACAATTTAAATCTTGTGACTACCTGGTCCAAACGCCCACGCAACGCGCCCGAAGATTGAAAACATTGATTGAAATGCATATGACGCACTAACACATCCACACACAAACACGATCGTGCAATTTACTCAAAACTCTCAATGGTAGACGCTTGCACGCACATATATATGTACATATGTAAGTATGTATGTGCAATGGTGAGTGCCGTTAGCGCCGGTCATAAATGTCAATGCAATTGCTCAGTGTCTTGTTATACGCGGTGAACAGGCAGGGTGAAAGCAGTGAGGGTGTCAGGGGGTGTGCGTGTGAATGGAAAATTTAAATGAAAGAGGGAAAGGAAAGGATGCTCAGGAGTCTACCACATTGATTGATCTTCCAGCCGCACTCATGAAAATGCCAAAGTTTTGACTCGACTTAAATTCGGCTTAATATTCAACAAAGAACAACAAATTTGCATATGTAAATATGTATAAATGTATGTGCATTCCGTCCGCTGTTGCTGTTGTAGTTGTTGTAATCAACGTTGATCGATAGGCCCTCACAGTCACAGGCATTTAATTGCTCAACGAAAAACGAGTTTGGTCAAAATATTTTGCGTTATTTTTGATCAACACACACACACAAACACACATAAAAAACCATCAACAAAACAAACACATAAAATAAAGAAAAGTAATATCCGGCTAGCAGAAGACCAAGAATAACAACAACTAAAGACAATAAACAAAAACTTCAGGCAAATGTGCGCCAATTTCGTGCAAGTGTTTGCATTGAGTTCTGATGCTGATGCTTTTGCTGTTTGTTTTTAATACACTCACACACACGCACTCACACAGTCATCGCCTTGCCAAAATTATTTCTACAACTGTGTAGAGATAGCCACTAAAAATCAATTATTTACCTTTACAAAGTGGAGCTTCAACTCGGTTCTAAGCAACAAATTAAATTTGATAGATTTGCATACATATGCATAAGTTATATTTTGTACACAAGCACTATTTCATTTGTATCATACATATGTGATATACATATAACCAATTGTACCGTTATTGTAAAAACCATCGCGAAAACGCCGCACAAACTACCGAGCGCTACAAGCGACAAACACAAATTACCAAAAGACCGTGGATCTCAAATGAATTCCACACATTTAATGTTGTGGATGTAAAACTCAACAATCTCTCGCGTGCACACAATCTCTCTCGATCTCTCTCTCTCTCTTTTTGGATCGCGAGTTTTATTGTGCTACTCATCAGTGATGCCAACATTTCAGAAGAAAAAAAACTATATTTAACAGGAGACTAAAATCATTCTTAAAATTTGGCAATTCTAAAAGAAAAGGTTGAAAGGTTGAAATTGAAAGGAAAACTATATTTGAATCAAATCCAGAATTCTCGATTCCTGTTTCCCGCAATTTCCGACTGGATTTTAAAAAGAACTAGATTTGACGGGAAAAGGCCAAATTGACACCCCTGATGCTCATTGAAAATTTGAAAAAGAGCCACAACAATTTGAGGAAACGGCATTATGTATACCCTTTACCTGAACACTTAAAAGATACACTAGAAAGTTTATATACCATATGTACATACATTTATAAATATTCAGCATAAGGAGACAATACTTACGAGCCTTACACCTTATATATATATAAATATGTACATACATACATACATATATGCTTCATATTTTATATACATTCATTAAATTATAGGTTAATATATTGCTTATTATTTCACTCTTAATTTTAAAAAGATTTTTTCTACCACATCCTCACTGATCAAGATTTATAAGCTAATTCCAAAGTTATTAAATTAAACATTAAAAAGTCGATCAAAATACCTTTTAGGGCCTAATTTTGTCTTACTTTTGATGTACAAGTATGTATGTGTGAATTTCAATGCACTATTCCGGTTTGATACTAGAGTTATAGTTGTACAGATATATTTACACTCGTTAACACAATTATTACAATTACTACATTGCTAGATGACAATGTTTATCATGGAAGACTTCTGGTTTTTATTATATTCTTGAAAATCATCCCCCAGGATCCGGGCCTGAACCTTGTTATACCCTGTACCCAAATGGTGAAAGGGTATACTATGCAACAGACAGAAAGAGGCGTGGCAGACCCCAGAAAGTATATATATTTTTGATCAGGATGACAAGACGAGTCGATATAGCCATGTCCGTCTGTCTGTCCGTCTGTCTGTCTGTATGAGCGCAAGGATCTCAGTAAGTACAAGAGCTAGGATAACCAAAATTGGTATCAAGGTTCCTATAAGCCCTAGGCAGATCGAGTTTGTTTATTTTTTCTGATACACCCCCACTCCCCCGCAATTCGTGTTTTTTCTTATAACTTCCGTAATTCTCGGAATTATCATCATGATAGGTCAATTCTGAAGAAAGTTATAGCCATAAGTAAAATCGCTGCTCATGTGCTGCCTGCAGCTCTGTCGGCAGCGCTGCCCGCAGCTGTTGTTGTTGCTGCTTTGGTTCAACTTTGTGCTGCATACATACACGCATATAAACACGCATAGGTACGTGATGTAAATGTATGCTGTTAAAACTGAACGTAAACATGTATTCTAATTTAATTTATTTAATTAATTTTAATTAATTAATTCATTCATTTTTTTTAATAATTTAATTTTTTTTTAATTTTTCCTTTTTGTGGAGAGTACAGGGTATTTTACTGTCGGGCTTGCTCGACTGTAGCGTTCTCTCTTGTTTTTCACTGATTTTAATAGGTTTTAGAGATAAGGAACCATCACCTATTTTTGCATATGATCAAAGTCTTTTTTACATGATTTTTTCTGGGATCAATCTACCGTGTAAAAACAGAATTAAGTGAACTTTGGTGGGCCTGCCCCTCCTCCTTCTGTGTGTTATAAACATTCGCACTAAACAAGTGCGAAGTAGTACATATATACCAACAAAAATGAATATACCAGTATATAAAAATTGAACAAGTTTCGCTTTATTTTCAACTGCACTAATGTTGGATTGCTGCAAGTACGAACCAACACTACTAAATCAAACTTATAACAATTTAGGTCTTTGCCGCATGTATAAAAAGTTAATATGGAACAAACTAAACCGAATACACACCAATATACATTTATGCTAAGAACACGCCACTTACACTAACTTTGGCTTAACAAAAACAAATTGAACTACATCTGCATAGCTAAGCTCGATGGCCTTAAAAGAAATTCCTGAAGATGCGCACCACGGCCTGCACCCAACGCGGCACTGGTCGCTGAACAATTCCCCGCTCCGCCGTCTTGGACAGCTCGTAGAGACGATCAGCCTCGTCCTGCAACCGCTGACTTAACCCTTTGTTCGTTGTAACCAGACAGATCTGCGTCTCGAGGTCACGATTTACTGAGCGCTCGCCAAAGTTTGATGATCCAATCAACGTCAAATTGGGTAAGCATGCATTAGGTAAATAGTACCACAAGCCTTTGGCATGGTATGTCCAGCCTGGTTTCTCATATTCGAAAAAGTTGACCCGATAATCCTGTTTCCGCCGCACGAGATTCTCATAGAACGTTTTCGCAATGAGCGTGTAAGCAGCAGGAATACCACCGGCTGGCCCTTTGGCGCCCTGAAATCCATTGGCCTGTGAACAAAAGAAATTATAAGAACTAAGCTATCTGCATCACGCGGACGACTTTCCATATGCTCTGGTTACACTCACGTTGGGATGCGCCATAAGAATACTGCATTGCGCCAAGCAATTGTGAGTGATGGTATCCATGTACTCCTGCGTTAAATTAAAGTAACCGGTGGCAAGTTTTAGACGCGAGCCCGAATTGCAACTCGCGAGCAGTCGTTTGGTGACGACGCTGTCGTGGTGTATGCCTATCTGGCCCATCTCCAGCAGCGGGAACACCCAAGTGTCGGCTTTGCTATACTGCTCCTGCAGCTGCGCCTGCCGCTGATATACCTGTTGCACAAAATCCACAATGCGTTGCCGTGCCTTCTGTATAAACTGCTCCTTGGTGCCTTCGTAAGGCAGTATCTGCCAATTGCGATGAAGGCCCTCCACAGCATCCTTACCCACCGCCAGACTAAATTCCTGAACGCGCTCAATGAATTGCGCGTAAAAGTCGGCCAGCGGCTTATCTTCAATGAGTATGTAACGATCTTGGCGATTCGTGAAGTAGTCGTTAGACAAGTTGGCTCCGGAAATAAGGACTACATCATCAAACAAGTACACCTTCATGTGCTGCAGGCCAAGCAGTTCATTCCAGCGCGCTGGTGCCAGTCGCTTGGTCATCCCACGCAAATCCGGCGAATGATACAACGAAAGCTGGACCTGTTCGCCAAAGTCACGCACTAAAGGCAGCAGCATCGTCTTGGAGTTGGCCGCTCCACGTGTTCCACGAGCAAAGTCCAGCAACACGTTAAGACGCAATGTTGACTGCGCCTGCAAGCTGTGACGCAACGTCTGCACGAACGCATTCTCCAGCTGACCCGTACCCAGGTACAGACTGGCCAGCACAATGCGCCGCCTCGCTGTTGAAATGCGCTGCACCAGCGTCTCGTAAAAGTGATGTGGCTCGTGTATCACTTGGACTTGGTCCCCACGCAACGGAAAGCATGGTGCCACGTTGTGTAACCACGACAGGCTGTCCAGTGCTGGAGCACCGCTGAAACCGTTGCACAGAAGCTGCGGCGTCTGCTGCAGGCAACCGATAAAGTCACTCTGCGTGGCGGCGGGGCTAAGCTCCTGTGTGAACAGGCGGCGCAAGTACATCATTTTGGCGGGAGCGGCAGCTAAACGTCCAAACACTCTGCACTCAATTCTCTAGTGGGCTAGAGGGATATGTGTCATGTTTTGTTGGCTTATATTCGCAGGCTTTTCATTCAAATATGCTGGTGGTACTCATCAAAATAAGGTGCTGTAGCTGTTTTCGCAAATGTTAATTTTTGCTTTCGTTCGAACTAGAGTTGTGTTATAGTGGACCCATTTGAACTGGTTCGATTGAATAAGTCATCTAATATATTTTTTTATGTGACTGAGCATCAGCCAAGTAAAAACTAATTTTTGGAGCTAATTACAGTTTTTACACTAATGAAAATGCGCGATCTCAAACTCTTTCCTAAAATCACTAATTTTATTTACATACAACATATAATTCCTTAAAAGAAAAGTATAATTTAATTTAGTTTTTATTAGCCAAAACGTGTTGTAATACATTTGTCTAAAAATGCATTTTCATTGTAAGAGTAATATCTTAAAAGAATGGGAAATTAAAAATGCTATTTATTTTACACAACCAATGGAACTAGTTCCCTTGTATCGAGCTGGTCGCGTGATTGGCTCATTCATATGGTCAACAGAGCTGCCGGAAGAGCATCAGCTGTTGCACGGCTGACGGCGTTGCCAATCGTGCCACGACACGAGCGAACGCAACGTTTCGGCAACCCTGCAGTTTTATCGTCTGCTCTTCTATTCCTCTTTTACTGCTGTTGCTTTTTGCTTACAAAAAATTGTACGAAGTCGAATTTGTAGTCAGTCTCAGTGGCAGTAGTAAGATACATATCCAGAATCACACTTAACGCCAGCTAAAAACGCAAGCGAAAAAGGAAGCGGAGCGCGCGCAAAGCAGCGAACATGTCCTGGATGGAGAAAGTGGATCCGGAGCTGATTTTTACGAAGCAGGAGCGAATCGGCAAGGGCTCCTTCGGCGAGGTCTTCAAAGGTATCGACAATCGAACACAGCAAGTGGTAGCCATCAAGATTATTGATTTGGAAGAGGCCGAGGATGAAATCGACGATATTCAACAGGAGATTATGGTGCTGTCGCAATGCGACTCACCGTACGTGACTAAGTACTATGGCTCGTATTTAAAGGGCACCAAGCTTTGGATAATCATGGAGTACTTGGGCGGCGGTTCGGCATTGGATCTAATGAAAGCTGGTTCTTTCGAAGAGATGCACATCGGCATTATACTGCGAGAAGTGCTCAAGGGCCTGGACTATTTGCATTCGGAGCGAAAGTTGCATCGTGACATCAAAGCGGCCAATGTGCTGCTGAGCGAGCAGGGTGACGTAAAGTTGGCGGACTTTGGTGTGGCCGGGCAATTGACTAACACGACCTCCAAGCGAAACACTTTCGTGGGCACGCCCTTCTGGATGGCGCCTGAGGTAATCAAGCAATCGCAGTATGACTCCAAGGCGGATATCTGGTCGCTTGGTATTACAGCTATTGAGCTGGCCAAGGGTGAGCCGCCAAATTCAGAGTTGCATCCCATGCGCGTGCTCTTCCTCATTCCGAAGAACAATCCGCCCCAATTAACTGGAAATTATACCAAGTCGTTCAAGGACTTTGTCGAAGCGTGCCTTAACAAGGACCCGGAGAATCGGCCCACAGCCAAGGAGTTGCTTAAGTATCCGTTCATCAAGAAGGCAAAAAAGAACGCCTATTTGATTGACCTAATTGACCGCTTTAAGAAGTGGAAACTCTCAAAAGGCGATGAGAGCGAAACCGAATCTGAAAACTCCGACTCCGATTCAGATGCCAAACAGAGCGGCAGCAGCAACGATGAACCCTGGATAATGACTGTAAAAGGCTTGCACATTAACAGCGCACCGCGTGCCGGCATTAACACCTTCCATCTGCAGGAGCACGAGCTTACCATGCAGAAGCTCATGCAGGGCACGCATTCGCCAACAGCCGCCGCCGGCGGTCCCACAACCAGCAACAGTATTGGCAAAACTACTGCGGCCGTTATTCAGCCAAACGCCGGCAACATCCCGGCCATGACAAGCACAACCACAGCCTTGGTTACAGCAGCCAACAGCGATGGCAGCGCTGCCTCTATGGCCAACCACAATAACAACAATAACAACAACAAGCATGCCTCAACCACGGTCATTAATGCTTCGAGCAGCAACCATCACGAGCATACTGGTAAGCACGGTGGACACAGTGGTCTGGGCATCTCATCATCTGCAGCGATGGGTACATCAAGCTCCACAAGCGATCACATGCAAAAGCGTGCCAATTCGAAGCCCGAGCTGCGTCAGGCACGTCCCAGCTCCTCAACACTGGACCACGTGGAGGAGCGCCGAGCCTCCTTGGGGCTGCCATTGAGCCTTGAGCAGCAGCAGCAGCGACGCAGCAGCAGCAATCGTGAATCATTCCATACAACAACAACCGCCGCCAACAATATGAGCAGCTCGGCCGTGCGAAACGATGAAGCTACTTCCAACAATCATGGCAAGCTGCCGACGAGTGGCCAACGCCTTATTCAGACCAATAGCGCCTGTCTCAACAATTTTCTGTTCCCCGTGCTTAGCGACATACAGCGAAAGTACAACAGCAGCGGCAAGAACTTGCAGAATATGCACGGCATGGGGAGCATGGGCAGCGATATAGGTGACCTGAAGTCGGTCTTTGAGCTAGCCGAACGTTCCAGTCCCGGCGTGAGCGATCTGTTCATGAAGGAGCTCATCCATATGCTGGTCCCAGGCTATTCGGAGACGCGCATCAACAATATAATGGAACGCGCCATACGCAATCGCAAATAGACCGTGCAACGGCAACCAAATTCCAAGCAACATGCAACTTCAACTATATACACACACTTATATACAATACTATATTATACATACGTATTAAACAAATAACGAAGCGAAAAACTCCGACGATAACAAGAAATACAACAATATATTCAGACATTTAGTGGCCAATTGAGCGAGAAGGGAGCAGCGGTAGACTTATGAAACACAATACATATAAAGTTTATATAGTTGTATGTACATGTATTTAAAAACTGAGCCGTATGCGGCAAGAGTTGATTGAACAGTTGTTTAAGCATTCAAAATATATTCGTTTGTTTATCTGCAATATTAATCTAATGTATAACATATGCAACTTAAAGAATAAAACCAACAAAACACATCAAAAATGCTATTGGAAATGGCTACAACCGCTAAGTAGTGAGATACTTTCAGAATCTGGGGCTCAAATTTGGAAGATACCACAAAAGAACAAATTGTTTTCTGATGATTTTATCACCATGACTGAGCGACTGATTCACTCTTTCACAATCAGGGCACAGCCCAAATCAGTTGACGTAAATCAAAAGGTCTTTATTGCATTGACATTGTACTACAAGTACATGTTTGGTTTTTATACCCTGTACCCGTAGGGTAAAAAGGGTATATTAGGTTTGTGCAAAGTATGTAACATACAGAAGGAAGCATCTCCGACCCCATAAAGTATATATATTCTTGATCAGCATGACGAGAGAAATCGGTCTAGACATGTCCGTCCGTCTGTCCGTCTGGATGAACGCGAGGATCTCCGAAACTATAAAAGCTAGAATAACCAAAGTTGGCATCCAGATTCTCCTAGGTCCGAGTAAGGACGAGTTTATTTTATTTTTTTAATTCCCCCCCCCCCCCCCCCCCCCCCCCCCTTCCCCCGCTACAGAATTTCGTCAATAGCGTCCACATTTCAAATGCTACCTAAACCAAACTTTGCACACATAATATCTATATAATTATCTAATGCTGTTCAAATTTTATTCAATTCGGTCAATTGTAAGAACAGTTATTAGCAAAACAAATTCTCGCCAGTACAACCCCCACAAACTGCAGCAACAAGTTCGCTCTTCTTCCTCTTTTTGCTGCTGCTATGGGCGCATATAACTCAGTGACGGAAGTTTACCTGGGTACAGGGTATTACACTGTCGGGCTTGCTCGACTGTAGCGTTCTCTCTTGTTGTAATTGGAATTAGAAATTTGAACGCAGATTTTCAAAGTATTTCTGAGTCTCTTTAAATACCCAGATAGTTTCTTAAGTAATAAATCGAAAGTATCTTTCTAATGTCTGGGTCGAGAATCTCTAGGACTTTAGCCGATCCGGGGCAGGTGGTTGATCAGTTGTTTATTTTAAAAGTTCTGTAACCAATAATCCATTATAATATACTACCTGAATATTTGTTGTTCTGTTCCGGCTAATAAAAAATGTATATGAGATACTCAAAAGTAACCATTTTTTAAATCTATCGGTTCACGAGATGGACCTAAAAAGAGAAAATAATCGACCAAGCTGAACTCTTAAATACCCTGTACGCTCCCACAAAAAATTTGAAATCGATCGGACAAATTTTAAAACAAACTTTTTATTTGAACAAAAGTGAAGAAATATTAAAACCCCAATAATTCAAGATCTAAGACATATTTCAAAAAACTGAGTATGCAGTTTTGCTTGCCACAAAATTCAGATTTTTCGTTTTCCCCCTTTGGAGCACGAATTTTTAAAACCGCTTCTTATCGCCTACGCTGTGAAAGGATACTTGAGTCCAAATTTCAGCTTTCTAGCTTTAACCGTGCATTGATCAGTTAGTGAGGACAAACTGTTTTATATATATAGATATATATCATTAAATCAAAAAAAAAAAAAAAAAAAAAATGGACTGAAGTCGGATTTAAGTTACCAAATTTTGTGATTACAAAAAAGACAATTTTGAAACTTGGTAAAAATATATGAGTTGTTGTATTTTATTTTTTTGTATAATGTTACGTAAAATAAGAACAACCATCTGGGGTAGAGAAACCTGGATGAAACGTGTCTAAAGATTTGTGTAATAAATTAGTCTTTTGCAAGGTATATTAAAAGTAATTCGTTCTGCTACAGAATTACTTCCGCATACTTTGATTAAACAAGCATATACAATGAAAACTCTCTTGGCCGGACACTCACGGTCGGCCAATTTTTGTCCGCCCAAGGGGAGTGTCCGCTTATGAGGATACTTAAATACTTTATACACCGATCGAATGTTTTTAGAAAAAGTGTCCGTATAAAAGAGGTGTCCATTGGGGAGTTTTCACTGTACACATATATACTTATGTATGTATTGGATGAGTTGAAGATGCGATATCTGGCCTATTAGATATGTACATATTTATAAGAATGGAACATGCAATGTTATACAATCAATTGGTAAGTTGGAAATAACATTTAAAATGAAAGCATGTTATTTCTATGTCCAATATTGGTAATTTCAAAAAATTTTCACAAATTTTTGAATTTCATTCCTTTATACAGGTATAACCTTTCAGACATGCGAACAATTCATTCTCTTTTGGAATTTGTTACGCATTTATTATAAACTAAATAAAAATTTTGAAAATCTCTGTTTTGCATTTTCTGCGTTCTTGTATAACCGGAACACAATCATTAACTTTTTGCGAGCCTAATAGAAAACAATTCGTTCCGTTATTAAGTTTATATCGTGTTTTCCAAAGCAATTAATTTGTATAAAAGTATGTACATATATATGTTTGGTAGTCATCAGATTTCTAACATTGAAGGTTCAATTAATATATTATATTAGGTTTGCGGGAGCTGAAAAATCTAACAGGCAGAAGGAGGCGTGGCAGACCCCACAAAGTGTATATATTCTTGATCTTCTTGACCGAAGTTATAGCCATAAATATATTTTCTGCTGCAGCGCTGCTCAAGCGCTGCCCGCGGCTGTTGATGCTGGTGCTTTGGTTGACTGCGAAAATGCTTACACAGACACGAATAGATGCGCATAGGCATACATACACTCACACAGACGCAATTGCTATGTAAATGTGCAATTATAAACCCTTTACATGAGTTCGAATACCAAGAGAGGTAAAATCGATCAAATTTTTTTTTATTTTCTTAATTTTTTTAATTTTCTTTAATTATTGTAAACATATGTACAGAGTATTTCAAAGTCGGGACACCCGACTTTAGCTTTTTTACTTGTTTTTACTACCAGTGGGCATTCTTGGTCTAACCTGCGTTTTAACTGGACTCCTACATGGACCACAGCCCAATCCGATGCTCATAAAGGACTAGTAGCTATAAATTGCTAATTTAATTCATTTTTAAAAAGATGGAATAAATAAAATAAACAGCAATCGCCAAATATTATTGTATACATATTGTTAAAAACCGGAATCAATTCTAATTCAATTTCAATTCGAGTTGAAACTAGATTGTTTGACAAATGAATGATATAATAATTAACTCTCAAAAATCCTAATTAAAGTGATTTCAAGTGGTCGGTATTGACATATTCACATACAAATGTACACGAATGCGTCCATCAATCATATGTATGTATAACATTGCATGTTCCATTCTTATAAATATGTATGTACATATCTAATAGGCCAGATATCGCATCTTCAACTCATCCAATACATACATAAGTACATATGTATGTACAGTGAAAACTCCCCAATGGACACCTCTTTTATACGGGCACTCTCTTCGGCGGACACTTTTTCTAAAAACATTCGATCGGTGTATAAAGTATTTAAGTATCCTCTTAAGCGGACACTCCCCTTGGGAAGACAAAAATTGGCCGACCGTGAGTATCCGGTCAAGAGAGTTTTCACTGTATATGCTAATATCGTAGATCTTAGCGTGCCTAAAATTTTGAATTCGTGATTCGCGGTACATGAATTAGATCACGCGCTCATTTCTACCACCAAGCATCTGTTCTCATGGCCCTGCCAGACTGTCGAAAATAATGCTGGATGGTGTTACTTTCTGTAAAAAAAAACAGGAGTTTGATTCCGATTAAACATTAGACCACGAATTTGCTGTTTGAAGAGGAAACAATTGAGTCCATGGAACTTAAACACTCGAAGTATTGGTCCACATTGTTCCAGTAAGATCAATAAGTTGCAGCAGTCTCAGGAACTCAATGTTTTTCATTGCGTTTTGAGAATGAGTTGGGAAACCTTGACGATCGAACCAATGGACTCGGACATTGAAAGAAATACTGCCAGCGATACTGAGTCATTGCACTCTGTGGATACCGCGCGTTATATTCGTGCTAGTCGCAAGCAGATTTTTTCAGTTAAGAACAGCTCAAATACCACAATAAAAACGTATCGAACGGTTCCTCGTATGCGTGATGAAGTTCGCCTGAAATATGGGTGTGTGGATTACGACCAAGATCTTGAGCTCCATCGGCATATAGAGGCACTGCGCCTTCGCCGTCAGCAGCAGTTACTTAGGCGCAATCTAGCTAATAGCATTTCATTGAACGGGAGCTCCAACAAAAGGCCGCAACGACGCAAGCTGCTCCGCAAGCGACACGTCAATATTCCAAATTTCAGCGCATCTTCGTCCAGTGAGGATGAGTTTAACGGTGCTATATCCTGCTGCGAACAATGCACAAGTGCAAGACATATATGGAACTCGCACTGCTGTCAGCATCGTCCTGCACCATGCAAGCAGGTGGGATGCGAAAGCAATCAACAGCCTCGTCATTTTAAGAGGAAGTGTCACAATAAGCACATACTGTGCGATGATGGATTACACTACCTAGGCACATCACTAGGGCGAACGTCAAGTCGCTCCAATTGCAAAATGCAACAGTCAGCGAAACTCACAAAACCTGCAAAACTATCATTCGACGCAGGCAATGATTGCATGTCTACTCCAAAATTTAAAAATCTTAAACGTGCCATGCCTATAGCAGGAGATCTCATAAAATTGCGGAAAGTGGAATACAATAACGAAGAGCCTCATGTATCTCTGCCCTCTCTGCAGGATCCAAAATTGTTAAGCACTGAAACGGTGGGCTCCGAGTCCACGTCTTTGTCTCATTATGTGTGCTAGAACCAGCAGCTGTAAATAACCTTCAGTGCACAATTCTTCCAAAGTGCGACCAAAACGGTGTAGATTCCAGGGAATTGAGCGCACAGAGATCAAATTGAGGAAAGGATGTAAGATGAAATCATACTAACTGACGAGAGCAGCATTATTAAGTGGGACGTCGCAGTTTTGATAACCGCCACTCTCTTAAATACCTTCCAATAGAGCACCTTCTCTAGCAGCAGCGGTGGAAGCCAATCGCACATTCTGTGTATTCCATGCCTGAAGCTTCAATCTCAATAGCAGCGGATTCTAATAAAATAGAAGTTTAAATCAAGAATTGTAAAAAAAACACTACATTTAAATTGCACTACTGGAAATGTGCGCAATAAACCATTATTTTTAAAAATATTTGCAATTGTTTTGCACAATAATTGTTTATATTTTGAACTGTGCGAACAATGGTTTTTATAATGGTTTTCAAAAACTTTGACGGCACAATACTAGTGTTCTTGTTCACTTAATTCTTAGCGTTAAATAACGAATTGGTGTATTTGCAAAGTTCTCGCATGTGCCCGGCTAGCTCAGTCGGTAGAGCATGAGACTCTTAATCTCAGGGTCGTGGGTTCGAGCCCCACGTTGGGCGAAAGTAATTTTTTTTTAGAGAGTTACTTATTTTTGCTGAAGTAATATTTTTTAAATAATACATTTTACATACTGTAAGAGATAGAGACACCAAATTTTCCACAAAGATGCGTTATGTGTGTATTCTATACGAGTTTGTTTTATTTTTTTGATTTTCCCCCCACTTCCCCCCATGGGGGTTTTCCCAATTTTCCATGCGTATAATCACCTATATCTCGGAGACCATAAGACCTAGGAACACCAAATTTTAGTCCAAGGTGCCTTGTGTGAATACGCAGAAAATGTATATTTTGGAATTTCCCTCCCTCCCCCCTCTCCCCCACAAATTTTCTCTAACTCCCGTAATTCTTGGAATTTCGAACTAAAATTTTGCAAATACCTCCAGTTAGTAATTATGTGTCCGTATGCCAAGTTGCACTATGATAGACCGATTTACCAAGAAGTTATAGCCATAAATATATTTGCTGCTGCAGCGCTGCTCAAGCGCTGTTGATGTTGCTGTTTGGTTGACTGCGAAAATGCTTACACAGACACGAATAGATGCGCATAGGCATACATACACTCACACAGACGCAATTGCTATGTAAATGTGCAATTATAAACCCTTTACGTGAGTTCAAATACCGAGAAAGGTAAAATCGATCATTGAATTTTTTTTTATTTTCTTAATTTTTTTATTTTCTATAATTATTGTAAACATATGTACAGATTATTTCAAAGTCGGGACACCCGACTTTAGCTTTTTTACTTGTTTTGATTCGCAAAAGCTAAATTTCGAACAAAAATAGCTTAAAAGAAACTAAACAAATACCACCTAAGACAACCAAAACATACAATTCTTAAATGTCAATCTACAATACTTTTTATAGCCTGTACCCAAAAAGTATATATATTCTTGATCAGGATGAGAAGCCGAGTGGATATAGCCTTGTCCGTCCGTCCGTCTGTCCGTCCGTCTGTCTGTCCGTCTGTCCGTATGAGCGCAAGGATCTCAGAAAGTATAAGAGCTAGAATAACCAAACTTGGTTTCCATATTCTCCTAAGACCGAGAAAGTACGAGTTTGAGTTTTTTTTCGATGCACCCCCCACTCCCCCGCAATTCGTGTTTTTTCTTATAACTTCCGTAATTCTCGGAATTTTGAAATAAATTTTGGTAGGTACATCCAGTTGGTACTAATGTGTCCGTGTGCCAAATTTCATCATGATAGGTCAATTCTGAAGAAAGTTATAGCCATAAGTAAAATCGCAGCTCATGCGCTGCCTGCAACTCTGTCGGCAGCGCTGCCCGCAGCTGTTGTTGTTGTTGCTGCTTTGGTTCAACTTTGTGCTGCGTACATACACGCATATAAACACGCATAGGTACGTGATGTAAATGTATGCTGTTAAAACTGATCATAAACATGTATTCTAATTTAATTTAATTAATAAATTAATTCATTCATTTTTTTTTTAATTTAATTTTTTAAAAAATTTTTTTTTTTTAATTTTTCTTTTTGTGGAGAGTACAGGCTATTTTACTGTCGGGCTTTCTCGGCTGTAGCGTTCTATCTTGTTAAGTCATAGTGCTTGAGCGAAAAAGGTCTAGTCTAAAATACCTTTGAAGTTTTTGCTATTTTTCAAGTAACTCATCATCAATAAGACAACAAAGTCTTGTATTATTAAATAACCTCATAGTAAAGGAAAAGCGATTAAATTTGTTCAAATTTTTCAGTGTGTTTCACCTAAATAACTATTTGCTGGCCTTTTTAGAAAACAGTAAATATGAATTCCTAAATATTTACCTGAAATAAAAAAAAACAAGTAAAAAAGCTAAAGTCAGGTGTCCCGACTTTGAAATACTCTGTACATATGTTTACAATAATTATAGAAAATAAAAAAATTAAGAAAATAAAAAAAAAAATTTGTTCGATTTTACCTCTCTCGGTATTTGAACTCACGTAAAGGGTTTAAAATTGCACATTTACACAGCAATTGCGTCTGTGTGAGTGTATGTATGCCTATGCATATATATTCGTGTCTGTGTAAACATGTGTGCAGTCAACCAAAGCACCAGCATCAACAACAGCCGCGGGCAGCGCTTGAGCAGCGCTGCAGCAGCAAATATATTTATGGCTATAACTTCTCGTTAAATCGGTCTATCATGGTGAAACTTGGAATACGGACACATAATAACCAACTGGGGGTATTTCCAAAATTAGTTCAAAATTCTAAGAATTACGGGAGTTACGATTTGCGTGGTAGAGGGGGGAGGGAGGGAAATTCCAAAATATACATTTTCTGCATGTTCACATAAGGCATCTGGGACTAAAATTTGGTGTTCCTAGGTCTTATAGTCTTCGAGATATAGGCGATTATACGAATGGAAAATCGGGAAAATCCCCATAGGGGGGAAGTGGGGGTGAAAATCAAAAAAATAAAACAAACTCGTATAGAATACACACATAAGGCATCTTTGTGCAAAATTTGGTGTCTCTATCTCTTATAGTCTCTGAGATCCAGGTGTTCATACGGACGGACAGACGGACAGACAGACAGACAGGGCTAGATCGACTCGTCTCGTCATGCTGATCAAGAATATATATATTTTATGGGGTTTGCCACGCCTCCTTCTGCCTGTTACATTTTTCAGCTCCCGCAAACCTAATATACTTCTGTACATTTCATGTACAGAGTATAACAAATAAATACTACCACAATACCCAAGGGCATCGTGGTAACTTAAACCCAAAAAAAACAAGAAAGGAATGCTAAAGTCGAGCAGGCTCAACTCTTAAATACCCTGTACCACCCCACAAAAAATTAATTAAAATTAATTAATTAATTTAATTTAATTAATTAACTAAATTAATTTAATTAATTAACTAAATATTAACTAATTAAATATAAAATATTCCATGCATGCATACATACATTTACATTTACATCAGAATCGTGCCTTATGCGTGTTTGTGTACTTGTACATATGTATGTATGTGTGCATTGGGCCTGGTTATATGGCTATAACTTTCCGATAATTCTATCATAATGAAACTTGGTATACGGATATATAATCACTAACCTAACGTGACTACCAAATTTTAGTTCAAAATTCCAAGAATTACGGGAGTTATAAAAAATCGTTCATAAGGGGGGAGTGGGGGGGTGGATCAGAAAAAATGAATAAACTCGTCCTTTCTCGGTCTCAGGAGAATCTGTATACCAAGTTTGGTTATTCTAGCTCTTATACTTTCTGAGATCCTTGCGTTCATACAGACAGACAGACGGACAGACAGACGGACAGACAGACGGACAGACAGACGGACAGACAGACGGACAGACGGACATGGCTATATCGACTCGGCCTGTAATGCTGATCAAGAATATATATACTTTGTGGGGTCTACCAAGCCTCCTTCTGTGTGTTCCATGTGCACTCGCACAAAACTAATATACCCTTGTACCCTTTGGGTACAGGGTATAAAAAAATAAAAATAAATAAATAAATAAATACTAATAAAATACATATTGAAATATTACAAGGTATTATTCCAATATTTTAATCTTAAATTTATTATATTATCGAACTAATCGGAACTCGGTTGCTTAGAAGCATATGTCAATAATAGTTCCTGTTTGATCAATACCGGCAAGAAAACAAAACAACGATTTTCAAGCGGCTTTCGTAAAATATTCACGTATATTTGTATTGGGCATAGCAAGAAACGAAATGCAAGACGGCAAAAAAACACTTTTGGAGAAATATCAGATACCTTTGAGTCACCTCGACTTTGGTTACATTGAAACCTGTCAGAATGCTCGCGAATTGGAAAAGATCGTACAAATTCTACGTTCTGGAGAAGAAGGACATTTTCCGGACCTGACGCGTTGCGCCGAAGAGAAGCTCAAGGAGTTGAATCCAAACAGCAAACTGTTTCGCTTCGAAGAGAACATACGCCACAGCGACAAAGCTCTAGACGCGCAAGAGTTGAAGCCCATCTATGCAAGTAAAATTTATCGGGGTTAAGGAACTTAATATTATTATTGCACCTTGCTTGCAGGACTGGACGGAGAGCATCAAGACCAAGGATAATGCCATGGCAGAGCTAAAGGAAGATGTCTGTAGCTCCACAGCCGGACTGCTCCCCATGCGGAAGCCTGCAAAAATAGACACGGAAAAGAAGGAGCCGGTCAAAAATGTGACTCCGCAACAAGAAAAGCCGAAGACAACCGAACAACGCATCAAATCCACGGACTACAGTAAATGGGACAAGTACGATGCCGATGTGGAGCTGCTGCGCATGGATCTTGAGGAGGAACGCAATAAAGAGCAAGTGGAGCGCAAACATCGTTCGCAAGAAGAAAAGGCGCATATTAAAATCTGCAAAGATGGTGTCGATGATTTGCGCAACAATTTGATAAAAAAGCTAAGCCCCTTGGAGCGCGAAGAGTATGCGGAAAGGTAAGTTGTGAAATTTAGTCGTATCCCCACCAGGTACTGCTCTAGAGACAATTCTTTTAAGGTTTCGAATGTGCGGCAATGAATGTTTCCGATCCAGGGATTACGATTGCGCCATTGCGGAATATGGTCGGGCTATCGCATACGATCCGCCACATGCTGCTCGTGCGTATAATAATCGCGCGATATCACGTAAGTTTCCCGGAATAGTCGTCATGCTGGTTTGCTATTTTGGAATATACTTTAGGGATTTACTTTCTCCATTTTTTTTTTTTTTTATAATTCCTTTCTAATCGACTTGGGAGCTTAGGGCTTATACAAGCGCTTTCCATCGAATTCTATTTCTGGCCGTCTGTCTAGCTGTGTCCCATGTGATGTCCAGTCTAGCGCCATCCTTACAATGCTGTGTTGGTCCTTCCGCAGTGCGTGGCCAATCCACATCCATTTCCTATTCCTTATCTGGAGGTGGATTGGTGACTCACCAGTCATGCTTCACAGGTCTGCGTTTGATATTCTGTTCGGCCAGAATATCCCGCATATAATTCTGAGGCATTTGTTTATAAATGCCTGCAGCTGTTGGATCATTCTTTGTGTGGTCAACCATGTCTCGCTCCCATACAGTAGTGTGGATTTCACGCAGGCATTGAAAATTCGGAGTTTGGTTTTTCTGCTCAACTGTCCGCTTCTCCATATGCGATACAGTCTTCCGAATGTTGCTCGGGCTTTGGTAAGACGGCTCGATACATCTTCGTTCATGCCACCATTGTTGGAGATAATGGTGCCGAGGTATGGGAAGTTATCGACAAACTCGATTGGGTACCCACGTATGTTGACATTTCCGTGGCTGGCGTGATTGAAGCGCATCGCTTTTGTTTTTGTCTCGACTGGCTAACTCCACGAGGTCTTCAGCTTTGGATTGGATATCACAGAGCCTGTCTTCAAGATGTCTGTTGAAGTTCCACGTGATGCCACGCTTGGACTTGCATATTTCCCTCATGAATTCGTCTACCACGATGTTGAAGAGCAGTGGCGATAGAGGGCAGCCTTGCTTGACTCCTGTGTTTGTCTGGAAAGGTGTACTTGTTTTTGTATTTGTTTGCTTATTAATTTCCATTGTGCAGGACCACCAGGTTGGCATCATCATACATCGCTTTAATTATGGCGATAATTTTGGTCGGTACTCCTCTCCTTGCTAGTGCGCCCCATACAAGAATTGCCGCTCTTTCCACTGAGTCGAAGGCCTTCTTCAAATCGATGAACAGCAGGTACAGCGGGGCCCGCCTTTCCACAGCTTGTTCGGTAATTATGCGTAGTGTGTTTGCCTGGTCTACGCAACTCCTGTGTAGTCTGAATCCTGCCTGTTCATCACGTATTGATAGCTCAATTTTTTCCTAAAGACGCTCGTTCAGTAGTGTGGCTAGAACTTTATAGCTCGTATTCAGCAGTGTGATTCCTCTCCAATTGTTGCAGTCGCCAAAGTCTCCCTTGGCTTGGCTAGTTTTACAATGATTCCGCTTTTCCAGGTAGTTGGAATCTGTTCGCTCTCCCATATGCCAGCGAAGTGCGGATGCAATGTTTCCGCCATCGGCTGGGTGTCAACTTGGAGGAGTTCGGCTGGAATGCCGTCTTCTCCAGCTGTTGTGCTTCAGCTTAATTATTGCGTTGCCGATTTCTCTGGTTGATGGTGGTGCGGACTTTCTCCAGTTATTGAAAATGAAATTAACCTTTTTAAGTTGCTTGGTACATTCGGTTAGGCGCATATAGTATTTTTTTAAAATATGTAATTCTGGCATAGCATATTAATTTAGAGCGCTTCATGGCTTTCACTTTTCTCCAGACATGAAGCTGAAAAATTATGTAGCGGCTATTGAAGATTGTGAAGCATGTTTGAAACTGGAGCCGGACAATATTAAGGCACGTCTGCGACTGGCTGATGCCAACTACGCCCAAGGACGTCGACGCGAAGTCAGTAAAAGCGACAAATAATCGTATACCAACTTTATCCAGTTTAAATGTATCTTTCTTCTCCGTAGTCTTACGATCTATATCAGAAAGTGTTGCAAATAGAGCCAGACAACAAGAACGCCTTAAAGGCTATTGAACAGCTTCACAATCAGTTTGGCGAGCTGGCTCCGGCACATGCTACCCGCCTAACCATAGAGGAACATAGTTCACCCTCTGAGAAGGAACATGTGAAGGTTAACTCAGCGCCAGCAGAGCCAGCTCCAAAACAAAAGCAAAAACCAGAGTCGACGCCCAAGGCTGCGCCTACCAAGGACTACGATCTGGCCGATCTTGTTAAACCGAATCGTGTGGTGAAAAGCAAATTAGTTAGCGCTGCCGAGGCCCTGGGAAAACTTAAAGGTCCATCGGCTCAGCAGCCATCACGGGAGCTGCCCAAGGAGGCGGCCATGCCTATAATCCATCTACCCACTAGCGCCCAGTCCAAAGACAATAACAAGTTGCTCATACAGGAAATCTAATTTAAACTCAATATTTTTGTTTGTTTGTTTAATCATCGCACATGCATTAATATGTATGTATGTGTGAATTTAAAGATATTGTACTACCAGTTTTAAATAATGTATCTGGCAAGTGTGCATACGAATACAAAAATACTAGTATATTATTTTTACAGAAGATTTTGTCTGGCCAAGTATTTGTTTTTAAGGTGCCTGAAAAATCCAACATCGAAGTATATCAAACTATGTATATACAATGTATATTATACATATATATTCTTAAAAAATTAAATGAGACAGAAGTGGTCGAAAACAAATATACTTGTATGTATATCTCTGGCGTACGCCTGTCTTGGTTTCAGGGAATAGACTTACAATATTAGGATCCTTTAAAGTTAGCTCTATCGCCGAAAGGACTGAGAGAGAACGCTATAGTGTGGCAAGCCCGACAGTGAAGTACCCTGCAGCCATACAAACTTTTGGTAGTGTGTTATATGCGGAAAAAGAAGAAGAAAAAGAGTGAACTTGATGCTGTATTTTGTGGGCGTAGTAAATCTTAAAAATCTACAGACATCAATTATGTCCAACATTTGTGGGACTTGCTCAGGATCCGTTAATACAGCATTACCTTGAAAACAATGCGTAGACGTCTGGCATTGGCGCTTAAAAGAAAGGGATACCCAACAAGCTACTACAAATCAGATCTACTATTTTTTTTTGTTTTAAGTACCATTTGTATGCAGACTTTTGTAGATCAAATTCTTATGAATGAAATTAAAAATGAAGTTTTATATTATATTATATGGTATAATATCTCTTAATATATGTATCTAGAGTTAAAGTTGAAATTTTTTTTTTTGATCTGAACGTAAAGTTTTGCGTGGAGGATTATGTACGTATGGACATACTCATAAATGCATGAGTAATAGGTCACTCTTTCATATTCGGAAACTCCGCCATTTTTTTAAATTATAAATTATCGTGTTTTCCGTTTTCAAATATTCAAGTGGTAGATGCCAAAATCTTCTGGATGTAGCGACCCACAATAATGAATGGGCGATGCTCGTACTCGCTTTTAGTCTCCATGGAAATTTCGACCTGAATGATAGGGAATTCTTATGGTATAAAATATCTTAAAAGTTGAAAAAACTTATTAAATACTTTACCTGATCACCCTTCAAACGATCGATGAGGGTTACGCAAATATCGCCAGCCTTGACATTGCACAGATTGGTCAATGAAGAGAACATAGTGGCCTCCATTTCTATGTTGCGTATCCCCTTCTCATCATGACATTTTCTTAAAAACTGCATTTTATCCTCTTCACTGTAATTGCAGACGGCGCCATCGGTGCGTCCCTGTCCTATGGATTATATATATATATAATAAATACATACATATATTATTACAAGAGAGAACGCTACAGTCGAACAAGTCCGACAGTGATATTGAGGAAAGCCATTTAATTCGATTCTTAAGATGAACGTTTTATCTTAAAGATTTAAAAAAACTCTGTACATATGTGTAAAATAATTAAAGAAACTAAACTTAGTTCTTTCAATGCCAAACATTGACCAAATTCAAAGGCATTAATTCCAAATATGCATATACTTCTACGAGGACTCCTAAAAATTTCTAGCTTGACAATGTCACTAAAGTCACTTCATTCACTTCTTTTGATGAAAATTCCTATCCCCTAAGTGCACCGTTGAGTTTAGGGATAAAAAGAAGAAGCGATAAATGGCGCACATTTACTCATAAATTGGTTTTTAAGGAAAAAATTTTCAACAGGGTTCAAAATATAGTTGTGGGTTTATGTATATACATATGTACATAAATGTATATAAACGTAAAATTATTAAATGAATTTGACTCTTCATTTTTATAAGTGATTGTTATATGTAAGTATTTACAAAATTCTAACGTATTTTTATAGTGATTAAAGTCAATTTATTTTAATCGCCTTAATAGAAAAACAATTAAAATAAGCAAAACAAGAGAGAACGCTACAGTCGAGCAAGCCCGACAGTGTAATACCCTGTACCCAGGTAAACTTCCGTCACTGAGTTATATGCGCCCAAAGCAGCAGCAAAAAGAGGAAGAAGAAGAGCGAACTTGTTGCTGCAGTTTGTGGGGGTTGTACTGGCAAGAATTTGTTTCGCTAATAACTTTTCTTAGAATTGACAGAATTCAATACAATTTTAAAATGTGGAAATGTGGGGGGGAAAATTAAAAAAAAAAAATAAACTCGTCCTTACTCGGACCTAGGAGAATCTGGATGCCAACTTTGGTTATTCTAGCTTTTATAGTTTCTGAGATCCTCGCGTTCATCCAGACGGACGGACATGTCTAGATTGATTTCTCTCGTCATGCTGATCAAGAATATATATACTTTATGGGGTCGGAGATGCTTCCTTCTGTATGTTACATACTTTGCACAAACCTAATATACCCTTTTTACCCTACGGGTACAGGGTATAAAAATGAAAAAATTTCTATATATACTCTTGGCCGGACAAAAGTTGGTCGACGGTGAGTGTCCGGCCAAGAGAGGTTTCACTGTATACATGTGTTAAGTAGTTCAAACTATAGACCTCAATGCAATACACATTGGGTACTCATAGTTCTTATTTATAGCACTCAAATTGAAAGTATATTCAGTACAAAGTATTTAATGATATGTTTAATATGTGTGTTTAAATACTGCCTACCTTCGTAAAAGCATTCGGTGGCCATTGTATTGGCTTCGATTGTCTTGAAGTTATCCCCCAATCCACACGCTACCAAATCCTTGACAACATCTGCAGTGAAATTGGCAGGACGCACAACTTTTTCCCCCAGAATAGCCTGCGTGGTCATCACAAAAATGTTGTAGTTATAGTAATAGTTGTAGCAAATTAATATTAATACCAACACTCACAATCTCGTGCTCATTGCGCAGATATCCGTTGTAGGCCTCCTTGGTTACCACCACAGTCCCCGGTGGAACGCCGACACCACCACAGGTGCCAATGCGAAGAAATACTGGATCTTGGCACTTCGCATACCTCACGAGCTTGAGTAGTTCGTGTAGCACCACACTGAAGGTGGACATACCGACGCCATGACTGGCGCACAGCACTGGGCCCACTTTATAGACGGCATACCGATTTCCACTTCTGCAGAGGTCCTCCGGTTCGCTGTTGTCTTTCACACCGAGCAATTCGCGCAAAAAAAGTGCGAGCTCCAACATGCGCGAAGCAGTGCCGCCCATGCAAATGAACTGATGTTTAAAAAACATATAGTTTAATCTTTTAATCTTAGTCGATGAATATCTGCTAGTTTCTACCTTAACGTCCCCAAATCGCTTCTGTATGTCCCTTGTATCCTTGGTATTGGGGACATTCAGTGCCAGATGGTATAAGTAGTCCTGGCTCATTTTATTAAGGTGGGGGTTTTTCAGTTCCACGGATTGGGCCATTTTGTCCACAGATCAGACCTATATACATAATAAATAAACATAGTAAATGTAGACAGTAAACATCGCAGATTATAAGAACTAATGATGGATGATATTTTTATACTCTGTACATGAAATGTACAAGAGTATATTAGGTTTGCGGGAGCTGAAAAATGTAACAGGCAGAAGGAGGCGTGGCAGACCCCACAAAGTATATATATTCTTGATCAGCATGACGAGACGAGCCGATCTAGCCCTGTCTGTCTGTCTGTCCGTCCGTATGAACACCTGGATCTCAGAGACTATAAGAGCTAGAGACACAATTTTGCACAAAGATGGCTTATGTGTGTACGCTGTGCATTTATATGGGAGAATATAAGACCTAGGGACACTAAATTTAGTCCAAGATGCCTTGTGTGTGATGTGAATGTGAATACGCAGAAAATGTGTATTTTGGAATTTCCCTTCTCTCCCCCCTCTCCACCAAAATCGTAGCTCTCCTAATTCTTGGAATTTCGAACTCAAATTTCGAATGCAAATACCCCCAGTTAGTGATTATGTGTCCGTATGCCAAGTTTCATTATGATAGACCGATTTTGCAGGAAGTTATAGCCACAAATATATTTGCTGCCCAAGCGCTGCCCTCAGCTGTTGCTGATGCTGGTGCTTGACTGACTGCAAACATGCTCACACAGACACGATTAGACGCGCATAGACATACATACACTCACATAGATGCAATTGCTTTATAAATGTGCAAATATACACCCTTTAAGTCCGTTCGAATACCGAGAGAGGTAAAATCGATCCACTTTTTTATACCCTGTACCCGTAGGGTAAAAAGGGTATATTAGGTTTGTGCAAAGTATGTAACATGCAGAAGGAAGCATCTCCGACCCCATAAAGTATATATATTCTTGATCAGCATGACGAGAGAAATCAATCTAGACATGTCCGTCCGTCTGGATGAACGCGAGGATCTCAGAAACTATAAAAGCTAGAATAACCAAAGTTGGCATCCAGATTCTCCTAGGTCCGAGTAAGGACGAGTTTATTTTTTTTTTTTAATTTTCCCCCCCACATTTCCACATTTTAAAATTGTATTGAATTCTGTCAATTCTAAGAAAAGTTATTAGCGAAACAAATTCTTGCCAGTACAACCCCCACAAACTGCAGCAACAAGTTCGCTCTTCTTCTTCCTCTTTTTGCTGCTGCTTTGGGCGCATATAACTCAGTGACGGAAGTTTACCTGGGTACAGGGTATTACACTGTCGGGCTTGCTCGACTGTAGCGTTCTCTCTTGTTTTATTATAAATGTGATTAAATATGTATACATACATACATATGTATGTACTTCTAAAACGTGTGGTCCAAAGCACACACCCTTTTTTCAACTGTCGAGACATGAGAAATGTCGTTATAAAACCATTATATGGATTTTACTAATTATGAAAGAGAAGAGTCTTATCTCCAACATTCTCTTTTGCTCTTACTTTGTTACTTATTGATAAATATAATCTCTAAAAATGAGCTGTCCAATCGAGCACAATGTGAAACAATAAATGCACTAATGCCGCTTGTCCCATACATACATACAAGTCGAGTCTTTTCATATAAATCTACACTCAAACTAAAATCGAGTACCACCGGCTACAAATTAAAATTCTTGATTTGAAGTACACATCTAAATATTTCGTATTTTAAAGTAAAGTATGGAATTCTTTATTATAGATATAAACGTACATACGTCTTTAAAAAGACTTGGTTCAGGTCACATTTTTTTCCTTTTCAAACAAAACTTATTGTCAAGGTGCATTTTGCTATTTTTTACTTCTTCGTACTTCGCGCTTATAACAGAAATACCGAAATCTTTTAGGGATCTGTAAATCTGAAATAGTCTTCACTGAAGTTAATATTCTGCGATTAATAAGTGGAAGCGTGGATTTGATGAGGGAATAATAAATGTAAGCACCAAACCAAAAGGAAACGAGTTGGAAAGAGTTGTCGTTACGTAAAGTATACCGTTAACTATGTCCTACAACAAAAGTTTATTTCTCCGTTGTCAAGGTCCACTCACGCTGTACATACATATGTATAATATATACCTTAATATTTCCGTACTATCTTATCTTTGATTAACAAGTAAAAAAACTAAAGTCGGGTGTCCCGACTTTGAAATACTCTGTACATATGCTTAGAATAATAATAGAAATTGAAAAAGGTAAGAGAATTAAAAAAAATCTTCCAAAATACACAATTTCTGCGTATTCACATAAGGCATCTTGGACTAAAATTTGGTGTCCCCAGGTCCTATAGTCTCCGAGATATAGGCGATTATACGAATGGAAAATCGGTAAAACCACCCTAGGGGGGAAGTGGGGGGAAATATCCAAAAAATAAAACAAACTTGCACATAACGCATATTCTGTACATTTTATGTACAGAGTATAAGAAGCACGTTTTAGCTACGTATAGTATTTTAACATAACTATGGGAGGAGAAGTGATTGAAACACTCAGAAAGTGGTTTGGGTTCGTCAATGCGATAACAAATCAACATAATCTATTCAATTTCAATTTTCAATTTCTGCACACGTTTGTTCTTAATGCGGGCGTTTAAATAAACAAATAATAATTTCAGCATCGGCGATTTTTATTAAATTCATGACTGTGAGTTACATAACATTACATTGTTACAATATTGCAGTCAAAATCGGTTATAAAAACATTAAAGGGATCGACAAAATACACACAGAATTTTTGAATTTTTAATAAGAAGTCAAAAAAAAAAATTGTTAACATTTTTATTTGATAATCATAATAGGATCAAGTTATCTATATTTATTTATGAAAGATACTGAAAAACAACTTTTAAACGAAGTTCGCGAAATAGTAAGTAATAGTTCAAAGTGCAAAGCACTTCCGACTATAAACAGCACAATTACACATTTAAGGGGAAAGTACAAAACTTCTGCTGTTGGGCACAAATAAAATGTGCTCTACATATACTTGTACGGTCTTTTGTTTCAATTCATTTCATTTTTTGTGGTTTCTTGGTTCACTGATAACAAACGTTTTGTTTTTCGCAATTTTGGGCTGGGTTGTAAGCAATATTCAGCGATGTCGTTAAAAGAAATTTAATTATAATTTAATTTAAGAGGTGTGGCATTGCAAACCAACTCCGAATTTCGTCGTTCTAACAGATTTGTTGTTATAGACGATTTCGATTGTATTGCATTCCATATTGAAGGTCTGTTGCAAACTTAAAACTTACCTATCGTTTAAAAGAAAATTAACAACTGAGCGTATTCTTTGTTAATCGCTGGGCTTTCAAAATCAGTAAATACCGGCTCTGGAAATGAAACGTTCGGTGTGCGACATAAATGTCAACTGATCACGGGCATCGAGCGCGCCGACTAAACATACATAAGAAGTCAGTATCGCAAGACACTCATTTTAAGCACATGCATGGGCGGGCCCAGGGTTTAATCTATGGGAAAAGATTCTAATGTCCGAGTTCTATACAATGTACATGAAACAAGAGAGAACGCTACAGTCGAGCAAGCCCGACAGTAAAATACCCTGTACTCTCCACAAAAAACAAAAATTAAAAAAAATTAAATTATTAAAAAAATGAATGAATTAATTAATTAAAATTAATTAATTAAATTAAATTAGAATACATGTTTATGTTCATTTTTAACAGCATATATTTACATCACGTACCTATGCGTGTATGTATGCAGCACAAAGTTAAACCAAAGCTGCAACAACAACAACAGCTGCGGGCAGCGCTGCCGACAGAGCTGCAGGCAGCGCAAGAGCAGCGATTTTACTTATGGCTATAACTTTCTTCAGAATTGACCTATCATGATGAAATTTGGCACACGGACACATTAGTACTAACTGGATGTACTTACCAAAATTGATTTAAAAATTCCGAGAATTACGGAAGTTATAAGAAAAAATACGAATTGCGGGGGAGTGGGGGCTGTATCAGAAAAAATAAACAAACTCGTTCTGCCTATTTTGGTTATCCTAGCTCTTGTACTTACTGAGATCCTTGCGCTATATCGACTCGTCTTCTCATCCTGATCAAGAATATATATACTTTGTGGGGTCTGCCACGCCTCCTTCTGTGTGTTACATACATGCGCACAAAACTAGTATAGCCTTTCACCCTTTGGGTACAGGCTATAAAAATAAGTGTACCGACTTTACACTACTCTATGTTTAGAATAAAAAAAGCTTAATTTTAATAAATGAAAAATACAAGTTGATGCAAAATATATGTATACATATTGTGATGTCTGGCAAGCCTCTTGCTGGGTATTACATGTTTCACTTCGTGCAAACCTATTGCTAAGAATACTCTTTTTTTTACCTTTCAGGTGCAGAGTATAACAAAGATATTGCAGAATTTTTATGGGGTGCTGTGCTAGCTTAAAATTGTTTTGTTTATAAATTTCAGAAGAATATAGTATTCGTGTGTTTACTTCATGATTCCGTTGAATTCATAATAATGGACAAAGGCATGTGTGAAAATTGGTTCAAAATACTGGGTTTAGCGTCCCTGAAATTTCAGAATCGACCGCGACAGGGGTGCGCAGACCAATAATCAATTTTTTTTTCCACACTACTCATTCTGTCGGCTGTTATGGACGCCTGAGGAATTTCATAAAACAAATTTCACTTTAAACTTAATTAAATTATCAGTAGACTTAACCTAAAACTAACAAGTGAGAACGCTACAGTCGAGCAAGCCCGACAGTGTAATACCCTGTACCCAGGTAAACTTCCGTCACTGAGTTATATGCGCCCATAGTAGCAGCAAAAAGAGGAAGAAGAAGAGCGAACTTGTTGCTGCAGTTTGTGGGGGTTGTACTGGCGAGAATTTGTTTCGCTAATAACTTTTCTTAGAATTGACCGAATTGAATAAAATTTTGAACAACAGTAGACAATTATATATAAATTATGTGTGCAAAGTTTGGTTTAGGTAGCATTTGAAATGTGGACGCTATTGACGAAATTCTGTAGCGGGGGAAGGGGGGGAAAATTCCAAAAAATAAAATAAACTCGTCCTTTCTTGGACCTAGGAGAATCTGGATGCCAACTTTGGTTATTCTAGCTTTTATAGTTTCTGAGATCCTCGCGTTCATCCAGACGGACAGACGGACAGACGGACGGACGGACATGTCTAGATCGATTTCTCTCGTCATGCTGATTCAGAATATATATACTTTATGGGGTCGGAGATGCTTCCTTCTTCATGTTACATACTTTGCACAAACCTAATATACCCTTTTTACCCTACGGGTACAGGGTATAAAAACGAGCAAAACAACGAATTTTAAACGATAAATATATTTGAAATGGAACACCCCTCGTTGTACAACGCCTTCGTGATTCAACTTGGTGATTTTTTTGAGCATTTGAAGGTCAAATTTTGCCCATTTAATATGTTTGCTCATATACAATATTAGATCGGTAACAAATTTGAGCGGCGAATTAAAAAAAAAACAATATTTGTTGAATTATCAAAAGATGTGCATACATTTAAACATATATGTATGTATTTTTATTTATTTAATTACAGCAGTTTAACAAATTTTACAATATTCTAAAATGTGCATGAAAATATCATATAAAATATCGGCTAATTTGTCAACTGACGTTTTTACCAAGAACATAAATGAAATTAAATAAAATAGTTTTAAAATAATATTTATAGTATGTACCCAAAGGGTGAAATGCTCTCCTAGTTTTGTGCGAATGTTTGTAATACGCAGAAGGAGGCGTGGCAGACCCCACAAAGTATATAAATTATTGAGCAGCGCAAGGATCTCAGAAGGTACAAGAGCTAGAATTACCAAACTTGGTATCCAGGTTCCCCCAAGTCCTAGGCAGGTGAAGTTTGTTTTTTTATTCCGATATACCCCCCACTCCCCCGCTATTAGTGATTTACGTAACTCCCGTAGTTCTTGGAATTTCAAATTTGGTAATTACATTCAGCCAGGGATTATGTGTCCGTATGCCGAATTCCATCATGATAGGTCAATTCTGAAGAAAGTTATAGCCATAAATAAAATCGCTGCTCATGCTCTGCTTGCAGCGCTGCCCGCATCTGTTGTTGTTGCTGCTTTGGTTCAACTTTGTGCTGCATACATACACGCATATAAATACACATAGACACGTGATGTAAATGTAAAACTGTACATAAACATGTATTCTATGTATGTATTAAATACATTTTCTTAATATTAATATTCTTTTTTTAATATTTTGTTTTTAATTTTTCTTTTTTGTGGAGAGTACAGGGTATTTTACTGTCGGGCTTACTCGACTGTAGCGTTCTATCTTGTTTTCTTTTTGGTGGGAGGTACAGGGTATTTAAGAGTTGAGCTTGCTCGACTTTAGCATTCTTTTCTTGTTTATTCTAGAGGACCGGATTCGGAGGACGAAATTCAAAACTGTTCTGCAAATTAATTAACGACTTATCCAACTCGGATGCATTGCTGTCCGCAACCAAAGGCCAGTGGAAAAATGCTGATTTTCAGTCTTGTGTTTTCGTTCTTTATTATTGTGATAAGCTCAGATTGCATTTGCATACATACATACATATGTATGTATGTGAGTGCTCAATCGTTTTTGTATTGTTGTTGTAATGTCTTATATACAAGACTTACGATTTGCTGTGTTTCTTTGTTATTTTTTCTGGAATTCGCGCGAAATATGATGAATTTGCTTAGTGTTCAGTTTAAGGAGTCACCAGATTCCTATTTGCGTGTTAGTTGTGTATTGTAAGTAAATGCAAGTATGTATGTACGAGTATGTTAAACATTTATAACAAGTTTGGTACTATTTTGCATACATTTAATTTTGAAGCCGAAAAACTAAGACATCTTTAAAATAAACCAACTATCTAACCTCTTCAGGACAGTCTTTTCCTTCATCTTTTCCCTCTTCCTCCTCTTCTTCATCAGCGTCTTCCTCTTCATCACCGCCGTAAAGAATCTTTCGAACGTAGCGTGCCACAAGCTCCTGCGGTCGAGTGTCAAACTCCTTCAGAGTCTCGTGTGGTGTTGTGATCTACAGAGTAGTGATCTGTTTTCAGTCATCTGCTTTCAGGTACCGATTAATTACACTCACCTGATCACCATTTAAACGATTTACTATGGCCACACAAACAACAGCAGCACGGATATTTGCCTGATTGGTCATACTGGCAAACACACTGCTTTCCATTTCCATGTTGACAATTCCTTTCTGACTAAGGCATTTCAGAAAGTTGCTTTTGGACTCTGGTGTATATTCACAAAACGCCCCATCCAATCGAGACTGGCCCTCGTAGAAATCGTTTGTGCTCAGTGTGGTGCCAGTGATAGTGTCGTACCCATCCTCGCAGGGGTTCGATAAGTCTTTTAATTCCTGCGCAAGTTCTAAATTTAGTTTGGTGGGGCGCAAATCGACCTTGCCATGCACAACGACTTCGTGGAAATTGCGCATCTGTCCATCTAGTGCCTCCGTGGAGATAATCACAGTTCCTGGTTCGACGCCTATACCTCCGCATGTCCCCAGACGAAAGAATACCGGGTCCTGGCACTTGGCATGACACATCATTTTGATCAACTCGTGCAGAAGAATGCTAATCGAGGGCCCGCCCATGCCATGACTGGCGCATAGGACGGGACCCACTTTAAACATAGAATAGCGATTTCCTTCCTCGGCCAGATCCTTTAGCTTGGCACCCGAGTGCAGTCTGAGGCCAATAGCATTCATAATGAAGTAAGCGAACTTTTCCATGCGCTTCGGCGTACCACCTAGAAAAACAAACTAGGTTGTAGGAAAAACAATTATTACGTGATTATTAGGCAGTGGGGTAGCTTTTAAAACTTACACGCACGTCGCCAAAGGTCTTACGGAAATCCGTCGTCTTTGTGTCCAAGCCCAAGTGATGCAAACGATCCGGATTGAGACACTTTAAGTAGGGATTCCTGCAAGAAACGGTGCTCTCTTTTGGCTCCTCAACAACTTCGCAGCCTTGCTCCACCTGCTTAATCAGTTTGTTCAGCCTTTTGTTTTGCGCCAAAACTAGCTCTGCAGTAGCGGCATTTATGTCAACTTTTCAAATGGATATTGGCATGTGCAATTTGCTCACCCTTCAGCTCAAGGACATCCTTAGCTAGACTGCACTGCCCCCGACATTTTGGCGAGCATCTCCCCGGCGCTTGCTTTTTTGACATATCTCTACTGAGGCAGCCGCGTTCGGGAAAATTCAGGAAAATTTTGTAATTTTAAAAGATTGTTGAAAAGTCAACAATTGAATTCTATGAATTTTGATAGTAAAAAACATGCCAATCGGCAAAACAATATCGTGCATAAGAATAACAATTATGAAGCCAAATGAAAGAGTTAATCAGAATAAAAAAATAAACTTGACCTGCCTAGGGCTTATAAAATCTGGATACCTAGTTTGGTTATTCTAGCTCTTGTACCTTCTGAGATCCTTGCGCTCATACAGACGGACGGACAGACGGACATGGCTATATCGACTCAGCTGGTCACCCTGATCAAGAATATATATACTTTGTGGGGTATGCCACGCCTCCTTCTGCGTGTTACATACGTTCGCACAAAACTAGTATTACTCTTTTTGTACAGGGTACAACAATTTATGCATCATAATTATTTATTATCGCTGATAGAATTCTAGAAATGCATTGCAAAATAAAAAGCACTTGAAAAAACATCACAAGAAAAATGTTTATTCATTATTGCTGATACGATTCTTGGAAATACATTGAGCAATTAATCGTGCTAAAAATACAAGTAATTTTATTAGAATTTAAAAACAAAAGTAGATAAATTTATATTACACGTTTACTAAGGTAAAGTGTGTGGATAGTATGGACAGTAAACTCGTGTTGCCTGGATATTAGAAGACAGGCAGACGGACATGGTATATCGATTCGTCTAGTATGACGAGATGAATTAACAATATTAATATTTTATGGGGTCGGACATACTTTGTTTGTTTTATTTTTTGATTTTCCCCCCACTTAAGTTGATGAGTCAAAAATCCGTCGACGGTCACTGTGGTTACCTGACATATAATCACTTACCCGGTACTTAATGCTCAGATCTAGCCACCTAACAGCAATGGCTCTTCGGCGAGAGCCAGTTTGAGTGATTGGTAGACAAAGATCCTGAATTGCGTGGCCGACACCATTTTGGCGTTATGTCCGTTCACCTGGAGAGCCTTTATTTGTACTTTCTGCCCCGCTTTGCTTCCTTTAGCAGCTTGAACGTGGCCGTGTAGGAACTTCGTTGGAGATTCTCTTACACAAATTATTTTGCACATTTTAAATGGCAAAAGTGTGGGTTACACATCTTCAAATTGGTGAACTAAAGATATTAGTTATTAGCTTTATTTTATAGTTTTATTGGGTAGACTAAGTAGAATCTATCGATCTCATAGAAATATTTTGATGAACAATTTATTTCTAATTTGTTGAGTTCGAGAGACTGTTTTTGTTTCTTCATATATTCGTCATAAAGTTGTTTAATTACAATATAACTTGTATTTCAATTTATTTATTTTTTTAAGTTTAGAATTGTTTCATATTTTCATACGTACATACATATAATTTAGTATATTGAATCTAATATGATAAATTGTGGGTTTTTGGTTTAGGTTGTGTGTGCTTTTTCCTATTTAGCAACATTAATAAAAACGGCACAGTTTAACAATTAGGTTTAACAAATGTTTAAGAATTACAATTACAATAAATACATACATATACATATATATAGTATATATGAAACATTTTCAATTATCTTATTGGAGTGCCTTGGCAAAATAACAATAATTAACAACGTCTTTACTTTCTTGTTCGATTTGTTTTTAACTATTTTTAGTCATGCCAATGCGATCAACAACTTTAATTAGTTAATTGTAAAAAATGTTTTTGTTTTTACTATTTTTAATTGCAATGCCATAGAGGATCACGTTTTCGATTGAAACACAATGCGTTCATTTTCAATTTGTATATGTTATTGGAATGTTTTCGATATCATTTAAAGCATACTTAAGTATCTAAATAAAAATAATTTTAAATTAGCTAGTGAGGGAGTTTGTTTGCATAGCAAAATTGATCTAAAAAAGACATAACAAGCTTAGAAATTTTCAATTAATAACTAAGGTCACTACGATTATAAAACCTGGATACTTTAACGCAGAATGTGACTTGAGGTCAGGATCAAGTATTTATTATACACATATCACTATAACCAGGGAATCAAACGGAACCCAAACTTTTTATGTAACCCTAACAGATAACTAAACCCAATACTATACATTTTTAAGAGCTGTTTATTGTTAACCAACATTCATGAAACTACAAAGTCGTATCAAAACTGAAACTATCATTCCGTACAATTTTGGTTCTTCTATGGTCGCATCCTTTAATTTATCGGGTAGAAATTTAATTTTAGACGATTCGGAATACTATGTCATTAGGCTGGCAACTATCGGAACAAGAAGTATCTTGTAAATTGAACAGATATTTTCAGTTGTTTTTCCCAACTATTATCCCGCCCAGTTTTACAAAAGGGCTATTGTATACCGACTGAAATACCAATGTACCAAAACGGAACTCAGAAAAAAAAGATCCAAGACAGAACGAAACATAAGTGTCACTGCGTACCAGAACCGGAAATTTAGCCGAATTGAGATTCGGATTGATTCCCTGATTATAAAACATCATAGACACTATACCATATATGCAGTTGGCTTTGAAGTGATGGAATATCAAAAATATAGCCCGCCCAGACACAATCCACCCGCGCAACCCACCCTTGCCGATCTAGTCATGTGCCTGAGATTCCTGTTGTACGAACGTGAACCGTCGGGGCGATTTGATCGAGCCCTGATGCCCCAAAAGAGACTTCAGCTGTCCGTTTTGTGCAAGAACCTTGCGTATATAGCGTGAGACGAGGATCTGGGGGCGTTGTTGCCACTCGTGCATCACCTCTTTAGGTGCGTTCACCTGGTCGCCGTTAAGACGGTTCAGAATCGCGACGCACACGACGGCCGCCTTGATTCCCGCATGATGTGTAAGCGCCGCGAAAATAGTGCTTTCCATCTCGATGTTGACGACTCCGTGCTCGCGCAGCTTCTCCAGATATGCCATTTTTTCGTTCTCGCTAAACTCACAAAAAGCACCATCCAGACGACCCTGGCCCTCGTAGAAGTCGTTCGTGCAGAGGGTTTTACCAATTATGGTGTCGTAAGGATCATCAGCACTAGCCAACGACTTCAGCTCACGTGCCAGCTTTTTGTCCAGCTTGGCCGGGCGGTGCACCGTCTCGCCAAGAATCGTCTGGAAAAAATCAGTGTTTGTAGGAAATATTTAAAAAGCTGTTCGACCTACTTACGAATTCATGTGAGTTCCGCAGCTGGCCGTCCAGAGCGTCGTCCGTTATGATGACCGTGCCACCCTCGATTCCTATACCGCCGCAAGTGCCAATGCGTATGAAGATTGGATCCCGGCACTTGGCGTGGTACATAAGCTTGATCATCTCGTGCATCAATATGCTCACCGAAGGCGTTCCCATGCCGTGACTCACGCAAAGCACAGGGCCAACTTTGTACATCGAGTAGCGGTACGAGTAGGCACTGATGTCCTGCAATTGCATTCCCGCTGGCAGCTTGTAGCCGATTTCGTTCATTATGAAGTGTGCAAAGTTATCCATGCGCTTTGGTGTCCCGCCCATGCAAACGAACTGGTGAGTCGAAAAATATGTAAAAGTAAACAAGAAATCATTTTAAGTCAAGGTTTATCACCAAAGTTTCAATAAGCTAACTAAAAATTGATTTTCCTGATTTATTGATCTTAACTCATCTTAAGGACCCAAATGGCCAGACGACCATATGGCAGATGCCATATAGAGAATAAGTCGTCAATATCTGACGGTTACAAATTATTGCGATTCGCCTTCAAGCTACATTCCATTTATCAGTTGACTATACATTCTTGTATGTGATTATTTTATAGTTAGTACTTAATAGTTTTTTAAAACGTTCCTGAAAACTAAAAGGTTATATTATTTTCACTCTGAAATATTGAAACTCCCAGAACGAAGTAGGTGAACCCCATGTTAGTATGTGTTATTATTATTCTTTCACGCAGATGTGTCCAGACAGTATTGAAGAAACTATTTGAGCCACCATAGAAACGATATGATTGAAAACGCTTCTTTGTATAACAACTTTAAGCGGTTTTATCTTCCTAAATAGTTGGGTATGGTCTCAACGATTCACAAACTAAAATAAGTATTGAATATTTTATTTGAAAATTTGTAAAACGATGAGTTGAAATTGGAAACTGGCTCTAACAATCAAACAATTTTATTTACACTCACTATGTAGGTAAACAACACCATATTTACATCAGCTCTTAAATGTTTGTATGTATACATCTTTCAATCTAAGATACAAACATAAGCAGCTAACATCGCATATATGTATGTATGTATTTATTACCTTACTATTTGTTATGTAAAATTCAAAAACATCGCAAAAATCAAGCTATTTTTGTTTTTTTCATTCTTATCAGCGATCAAAACAACACACAAAAGGAAAACACAATCCTCTTGCTCGTCAGCTGCCTCGATTCGCATATATGTAGCAGCAGTGTTCTATAACGTATTACGCATTGAAGAGTACTTGTGGGGTAGGGTTGTCAAACATTTGATTCTTGAAGAATAAATACAACAAGGACACACGACTTTTTTTACAACTTACTCACCTTAATGTCGCCGAACATTTCTTTCAAATCATGGCTCTCGTTTCCCAAAGCCAAGTGATACAAGATATCCTGATCCATTAGCTCGATGTTAGGGTTGCGCAATTTAACGGTTCCATCTGAGTAACTGAAATAGTTCAAATTGTAAAAATATATTGCAAAAAACCGAAATATTTTGTATCTATCAACTTAATCTTCACATTTGTCTTGTTTAATTTTGCATGGTAATATTTAAATAAGTCTGAAGACCAGCGGAATTATTTATCATTAATATAATTTAAATGTAGTCAAACATTAAGCAGACTAGAAGTGGAGCCAAATTGTATCAGCATTTTAGGTAAAATAAATAAAAATATTAAATAAATAACAAATAATGGGCAAATATTCAAACACAGAGCACCAATTAAATATAATTGGCGGCTTCACGAAACTTAAGTTAAATGTGAGAGAGTGTATTCATTCTATTTACGTCCATCAGAAGCCCCCAATGCGGTCTCAATTTTCTGACTATATACATATGTATGTACATACATATATGGACCTTATATACGTACATTCATATGGGTATACATATACACATACATATGTACATATAAGTGGATTCATAGTGAAGTGATGTGAAGTAGTGTGCCCAAGTACCAAAAGGACCTGCGACCCAGCATTGGTCATTGCAATTGATGAGATGATTTTTAAGTCGACCCACATAATCCGCGCTTACTGGGCAGACCTCTTGGACAATGTGGTCGAAGGAATGTCGTTCAGCGGAGAAGGATGGGATGCCACTAACCAAGGATTGCAGCTGCTGCCGTGGACTGGAGTCGGTAAAATACCTCCTGTAGTATATTATCTATACACTGCATAACAATTAATTTTATTGTGTGAGCAATAAAAAGTCACATTAGAATTGAAAGTAACGAAGGTTCACGATCACGATTTGTTGTTACGTTCAAGAAATCACGACCACTCACGTTTACACACGCATTCTTATTGAAAATGTTTGAACAAAATTACGAGTGAATGTTTAGCGTTATCAAGAAATGATTAATAAGGGGAACAAGCAGAAGTGGAGGAGCGAATATAGCAAAACAAACAGAAATTAATCTAAAAGGCATGTACACACATATTTACTTGTTGTCTTAGCATTGACCTTGAGCAATCAAGTTTGACTTTGATATTGATTACTTTTTGTCTTTTAATCCCCCCTCGAATTTCTAAAAACATGTGTTTATAAGGTGAGTTGCTGGCAGAAAAAACATAAACTGAATCATTTGATTTCTGAAATTCTGGCAAGAGAAAGTGGGCATAATATATGATATCGGTATTGCTATGGTGATTGTGAGGAATAAACGCAAACAATTAAAGCACGAATATCAAATTTATGGGCAGGCCGATTTGTTAGTACAAGTGCAGCGATTCCGACACACCTCCATTCAGAGACACTCCCACACATCCTTGCCAATCTTTACATACTCATATATGTATACATGTACGTACATATATTTGCGTGAGTATATCTTTGCTCACAAATATTTGCATATAAGCTGCCTTAGTAATGCTACATAACTGATTATTCTAGTCGGAAATCATTTCAGATATTGCCGATAGCTGAATAAAGCATCTACAGCCTTGCACTCTCTTAAAATTTGCGCTTTCATCTGTATTTCGAAATAGTATTTTTATTGATCTGCTCAGCTGTCACTACCGTTATACATCGCCACAAATATTCGTAAAGCTCATTACTTTTGAAATCACTGACTTCCCTAAACTTCTTACTAGCATGTTAGGTTAGACGATGCGGATTACTCGTGGAAGGTATTCAATGGCAAATAATTTTCCTTGGCTTGTGGAAACAAATTCTAAAACACTGTCAGCATTTTGGCGCCAAAATTGCATATGCATTTATGTAGGGAAACCGCTGAGCAACCCCTAAACACGCAGCTGACTACACATAGATCTACGCCTGCGACCGGTTTCTTAGGGCATTGCATCCTCACCGCGTTACGTAGCGCGTATAGGCGTCTTCCTCCTCGTCGTCCTTGAATGGTGTCACTTGGTTCCGATCGTGGTGCACTTTGAAGTCCTTATCAGTAATAGTGGGTGCCATAATGTCACAATGTCCTCCGAGGTAAGTTTGTGTAACAGTTTATTTAAAAGCCTACTTGTGCGTTGGCACAACCCGGTAAACCAATCGTACACTTCAACGCTTCACGCGAAACTAAAAAAGTGTGCTAGCGTTTGCCGCTCTTATATAATAGGCCGCCAGCACAGAAACACAAACAAACACAAAAAAAGCAGTGTGCGCTAGTGGCTCACTGCCGTAAGCCTGAGTTGTGAGCGTAACAGAGCGTTAACAGGCGTTGTTAACAGCTGTTACTGTTGCTCTGTCTGGTAGTGTTTGTACATTTTGGGAGTTGATTTAACATGTTTTATTTTAATGGTTTGATAACAAAATAAATGGAAGTTCAAACTAAATTGGTCGTAAGTAAACCGTAACATGAAATGTTTAAACGAAAATGTAATATATGTATGTACATGTATTGTATGAATGCCTTCAAGGTTGAGATACGGACGAATGTTAATGACCTTTAATATTAGTTGATTAGAATTGCTGTCGTTTTCAATGCTTTCTTCGGATGCGCACAATACGTGCAATTTATTTTAGTTAACACTTGATCCCGCATAACATTTTTGCGTAATTGTACTTTACTGTTATTGTATATGCATTGCAGTCGCCTTTGATTGCTGCCACAGAATGCAACATGCATAACAAACAGGGTGCCCAGCGAGAACATGCTTATAAACATACAAGGTACATCCCTATAAAATTTGAAATCGATTCTCCTCAAGTAACCAGTGGTGGTTTGTTTGTTCTACGCCGCACTCTTATTGGCGTATGTACACATGTACATATTGTGAAGAGTTCAGAAATGTTACTTGATTTCGATACACAAACCGGTATTATTGCGGTATGTGACGCAACTTTGGTATTTAACGCGAAACAGTTTGCAACGATTTAAATTAAAACAAGTTCTACGATTTTCTAATCGGAATTAAGAATTAAGTTTGCATATTTGATTATTTGATTAAAACATTTACGTTGATTGGTGAGAATCGTTTATTTCTTATTTAATCACCTCACCATAAAATATACAAAGATCTGTACAATTCCAAATTCTGAAGATTAAAATGGATTTTTATTCTAAAACTGGAAAGTCTAAAATATTTAGAACATTTAAGTAAAGCTCACGACAGAGATCAAGCGCTTTATGGTTTGTTTTTATACCTCAATGCAACATGTCTGAAATTAAGCAAGTGGAAAATATTACATTTAATCAAAATTGACCATCGTAATGAATCATACAGACACGTAACTGAAGGTATTTGCTAAATATAGCTCTTATAGTCTCCAAGATCCAGGTGTTCATACGGATGGACAGACGGACAAACAGACAGATAAAACGTTAATTGAAAAACGCTTTGATGACGTTTATTGTATTCTTACGACCGAACGGATAAATGGTTATACAAGTACGATATTCGCTCCAAAAAGTATCAGCTATAAAATGTCTTTAGTACTTGGACATTAGCTCACAATATACCCAACTGTGACTCACAATCGGTACCAACGCCATAATGTAGAGTAGTCCTAAACATATGCATAGAATACGCTGTAACGCTAATGGATAGGAGTATGCTAATTTAGAGCGAATGTTTGTAACATATGGACAAGCAGGCGTGATATAGCCAAGTCTGTTTGTACTAACAAAATTTGAAATCACATATTTTCCTAAAGAGAGATTGGGTTATTTTCGAATGCCATTAGTTTTATTTAAAGCTCTTGTAATTATTCGAGTTCTTGACCAATTTGGCAATTACATCCTCTAAAAATTGTAGTGGCATAAATGTGATTTCTTCTAGTGGAGTGGTAGACACCTTGTACGATTTGGGAGGTGAACAATAAAGGTGGTAGACACACACACCCATTATTGTCAGAGCAGCCCAAATGCTCATTTCATCAAACTAGAGAATTTTGAAAGCATTCATTTAATGTGTTTCGACATCATCGTCACCGTCACCACCATCGTCATTTGTTAGATACATTTTCAGCTTTTTTTCGTCGAAATCGTAAAAGTCGCACATTTTTGTGTTTGTGTTTGCGTGAGCGGATTGTGCAGATACGAATAAGCACAGAAAACAAAATGCAGATAACACAGAAACGTCAGCAGTAGCAGAAATTGATTTGGCGAAATACCAGAAAAGAGCAAAACAAGAAATTGCTAGGCAATTATAAAATGGGGGCTCGCCTGTTAACCAGAGCCGGCAACTCTGTCTTCGAACGGTGTAAGTGTGAGTCCGACTCTGATTCCGATTTGAAACGTGAACGGTTGGTTGTCAATGAGAATTGAAGGTTGAGTAATACACGTGAGAAAACAAAAGAGAGAGTAACGGTATAAAGTTAAGTAAGAAATGCGGCCAATTGCGAGCAAGTAGTGGCTGGAAATGGACAACTGACAGCTGGCCCATTGATTGGGCTGGCGGCGCGAATAGTAAATAGCTTTTTAACTGGTTTTACGTAAACAAACCACTCGTACGATATGTGTATAGTATGGAGTAAATATGTATGTATAGACGAACTGTTGTTACGGGCTCTATTAACTGGGAAAATATTGATTTTCACTGTATCCGATGTCGGCATATGCTTTTAATTTTATTAATGGCTGAGTCATCGGGTGAAATTATTTATCTATATTTTGTTTCGTTGTGCAGTGAGGAGTGAAAAGTGTAAAACAATGCGATAGTAGAGCTCCCGATTTCAACAGCACTTTCTTGCAATTGAGATTGGATTACAAGACCTTGGCGCCCCAGCTTAACCCTTTACATTTGCTCTGCACCGACTCTCGTCGGGTCATCAAAGCCGTTTGTCTACCACTTTTGTTTAATTGTTGACACTTGTCGTATGTCATCCGGCAACTCAAACCCTTCAGTCGGTAATACCGAGCGCATACCTGAGTGCTGCGCAATTCTTTGGCAATACACTAATTGCTGGCTGTCCTTGACTTGCATGGTCTGGGCTGGCTGTTATGCAAGTGCACCTGACACTGATAGTCTTAATCAGCCTTATAATTCCTCAACTTCTACGTAATTGGTCAATGCAAATATAATGCGCTTTGCGGGGACTTAACAGCTCTAAGAGAAAACATACTCGTATTTATTTTATTAAGGGGCAGTAATGTTTGCATAGCAAATCACTTCCAACTTTTGAAACCAGAGACCCACAGATAATAACATTTCAAAATTGTACATACAGCTTTATTATACTTAATATGCTATTTTCTAAGTGCAATGTGTGTGTATTCTAGACGTATATATAATTTAATATAGCCTGACGTAAAAACTTGCAATTCGTTCATTATAACTTCGCACGATTTAATGGCAATGTCTGGATGGTGATTGTTTACGTAACGTCAGGTGTTTGGCGGCATACGACTTACGCAATTCCGACGATAGTGCTCGGGACCTGGAAGAGACCTATAAAAAAGTTATATGGAAAGTGCCTTTGAAGTGTGCGGGTATTTAATTGCATTCCTTACAACTGTGGCAAGTGCGACATAAAAGCCACGTTTATTGAATTTGTCCAGAAGACTATGAACGTTTTCCCAAGATGTAGTCCATATTGTTGCTTCTCCTGCTGCAGTCAGGAGGAGCATCTTCAGAATAATTAAAAAAGGCAAACGCCCACGCACACTAACGCAGTTGCCGTTTGAAGGTCATTACAGGCTTCGATTGTGGCATGAGCTTATGCCAAAGAGAAAATATAATTGCGGAAAATGCAAATCATTCTGTAAAATATTTAAGAGCAAGCAATTTTCCTTACAGTGCGTAGGAATAAAAATGCAATTAATTTTAAATGCGTTGACAAATCTCTGGCTCAGCGTCTATGTATATTGACGTTGGCAGACATTGGAAAAATCAGTGAGCAGTGCGCCAAAAAGGGAAATGTCACCAAACATTGCATTACTCACGCATGACCGATAAAATTTTGAACATTTTGTTTGGCCAACCGCCGAATTGGCGTCTTCCCAATGCCTCCCAAAGGGTTCTCAATATTCAGGCGCAGAGGTCAACAACAACAGCCTACTGCTTCGTAGTCTAAGAGATAACATACAACGACTGCTTCCCTAGTGCTAGCCACGACCTTCGCCTACGCGCCCTAATGTGGGCCAAGAGCATTTAATTGTGTAGCATACTTTTTAGACGCCCCTATAATAGCAACAGCTGCCTCAAGCTCCAACAAGTTTGACAAGCCCATTTAATAGCTTTTCAGAGTACAGTTTTATGTCAATGAAAGCTTATTAGTGTAGCTTTTGGAATAGAATACTTGTATTTGCTCACTTTATTTTGATTTAATTTGATTTGAACTTAGTTCACTGCGCTTCTTGAGGGCAAACTCTTCTTATTTGTATATACATTTTACATCTCTGGGATGGATTTACATTTCATTCGTTCGTATTCGTTCTATCGTACTAGACCAGGAAAATCTCTGTATTTATTTCATCCTGTGTCCACTGTGTATAGCTATGTATATTACTTGCAAACTTAACTTTTAAATGGCATTAAAAAGTTTAATCACATCACAACGTTAATTGTCATTTAAACCCTCAAGTCGTGATGTGTTTTTTCGGTAGTTGTCATAGAGATGTTGGACTGCTATTTCAGAGTTTTGTTGTTTCAAATAATCTTTGATTTAACACTTTTTTCATCTCTTATAGAGTCCCATATAAGGGACAAATAAACATGCAGAGAGACTTTCATTTATTATACTCTGTATATGAAATGTACATAGTATTAGGCTTGCGGTAGGTGAAAAATGTAACAAGTAGAAGGAGGCGTGGCAGACCCCACAATATATATATATTCTTGATGAAAACTTAATTCTCACAGACACAGCTAGAAACACCAAATTTTGCAGACAAATTCCTTATGTTTGTACTCCCCCCTATAGGAGACTTTACAAGACTTCGTTCATATAATCAAATAGATCTCGAGACTATAGTTGCTAGATATAATTACAAAGTACAGGGTTTATGAAACCCTAAGAATTAACCTAAACGCAACTATTTCCACAAACAAACAAAATGGGACTACATCTAATTACAGGAGCCTACAACTGCGATCCATAGGATTTAGTTTTGTAA